CATTGTTCATTTTGTGTGATATGACAAAACATGTAGGATTCGAATCAAGAAAGCGGAAAGACTAACGCCCGCAGTTGTTCTAGGTTATAGGGTGGTATAAAAATTACGAATAAAAAAGGGTAAAGAAATTGAGTTATTTTCAATGAACTTATATGTGTTTCTAAAGGTCAAAGGTGTCCCAGTATAAGTATGACCTCTAATCAAATGTACACCCTACGCGAAAAAATTGAACTTTATTGGACTCACATTTCCATAGCTGTCTTGATAAAAAAAAGTTGTGGATGGTAAATGCAATAATAAAATCATTTAGCGTTTAGAAGAATCACTTAACGATTATGAAATGAAGTAATAATATGCAATATTCATCCTCGGATGTAAATGTTTCTAAAGCATAATTTCAAAGCCTGTTTTTTTTGGAAAAACACGTGTACCAAAAATGTATAAAAATTCAAATCGAGCAGAAGTCGACGAAGTGAAAACAGTTATTTTTTATCAAGGCATATTTTAGCTCCTTATTTACATTGAAATTAAATTCCTATAAAGGTACATGAGGTTTTCGGGTTGTTGACCTCGCTTTCGTTTAAATTCTCATTCATTCCAGAGAAAGCAGAGCTGAAAGGACAGAAAACGTACAAATAAATGCCAATTTTACAGTTTCCTGTTCCACCCACTAGAATGATTTTATACTATTGTCGCTGGTTATACGTCAATGCATTTTTAGTAAAATTTAGGTACACAGAATACTTCGAATATTAACAAACTTGTCAAAAGGATCAAAATTCAAATTTTTTATCTCATCCCAAAGCTTTTTTTTCGTAAATCTACACAAAGAACATGCATTGAACAATTTTCTTCAGTCCTTATACAGCATGTTGACGAATTAAAATAAAAAACGATTAAAACTACTATAATTCTTCAAACAGGTCTTAATATATCCGATAAATTATGTTTTAGGAGAACTTAAATTGGTAATATTTTATATTATGTGCATGGGATCGAGTTTTTGTCAACCTGTCGGAGAAGTTTCCACTTCGTCGTTTTAACCAGTCTGAATGACAACACATGGCTCACATCCTGATGTTAATAATAATCCATTTCACTGAATCCGAGCAAAAAATATGGTAATTTTAATCCTCCATCCCATCCACGACTTTGATTGTACCTCGACCACGCGAACTACATTTGGAACAGGATACGGTTTTATTTGTTTATGCTTTTTATACACATTTAAGTGTAACACTTCTAAGTACGGTCACAACTACAGTGATCGACAGTGGATAGATGTAGATTTTCAATCGTGGTTCCATTCACCAAATCTAACTCTAATTTGGATAGGACAGGCTTATTTTACTTAACGTTGTTATTATAATATTACGGTAGGCGTTACATAATAATAAGAAGAATATATTTAAATATTTTTATGAACCCTTTATTGTGGTCGCTAGAAGGTCATCTAAGAACTCATTAAAGGCGTACGTGGAATGCGAAATGTGAGATTTCGCTTTTGATAGCCGTTTTGAATGTCCCATAATCAAGATATAACATCTCCATTGTAATTGTTACGCCGATATGCTCGGCAAAAATAACAACATTAATGTTATCAGTACGGTATAAATTTGAATTTAATTTTCAATATCAGTAACTAGATTATTTCGTTAAGTTTTTGTAACACATACAGTGGCTATAAGCAGCGACTTATATGCAAATTCTATTTATTCTTCTATTTTCAAAACTGACCAAAACTCGTGGATAGGCAAATTTGACTTTACAAGTACTGGCCTTCAGGAAACTAATGCAAATCTTCATCATTTCCTTGATCCACCCTAGTTTTTGAAGGTTGACTGTTGAAATCACCAGTCGAATTTAGGAAACAATTGCACATGAGTCGAATATCAATTGTCAATATTAAAGGTAACTTGAATTTTATCGAAATATTCCTCAAATTCCAAATTGATGATTTTTAGTGTATTTTAGTTTTATTGGTATCTGTTTCCTGAACAGCAATATAATATTTACATAAAGTAACTTACATTACAATGAATCGCCCTGTATTTTATTTTAAAAACTGAAAATACACTTTATGTTCCATCATTTTTATAAAGACAGTTTTAAAAAAATTCCTATTATAACAAGTTGGCCGTGGAAAAATGACGGATATATATTATTCAGTAATAATTACTAGCTTGCCATTTAACAAACTTCTGTGAAATTTTGTATTGTTTATTGTTATGCACTACAATTTTTGTAAATAACTTTTTTTGATATCTTCTACAATAAAGAAGATATCGTACTTTGACTCACTAATGCCGCACCCTCTATGCGATATCTACAAAACTGTTGGCTGGATACATGATGCCTTTGAATCCAGTGACTCTCCCATAATATTTACGTCATATCTCTGAAGTCGACCACAGTTAGTGTTCTTCTATTGGGAGTTCCTGATGTTTTTCTTTATTTTCTGAGTACCTTTTTAATATATTTTAGTCAGATAGTATTGCTATATCAAATCCTGAAATGTTACATCCTATTATATGCTATTGTTTTATCAATGTGTATAGTCAGGTCCGAATATAATTTGTAATATTTATTCTCTAATACTGTTCGTGGTATGTATGTATAATTGTATATAATATATGGACCTGTATCTTTATGCAATTGATATTGTAATGTTATTGTCTGATGGACAGTATTATACCTACATATATGCTCAACAGTGCTAATTGTTTAAAACCTGATATGATCGAAAGTTTCTGGAAATAAATGGCATTTTTGTGTCAGTCTTTAGAATGTGCTTTTTGTAGGTGTTTGCGGTTATGATCTGATCTTGAGTTGTAAGAATAACACTCACAGCTTCATAGTATAACTATATTTTCTGTAAGAATTTGTATGCTTGTTACTTTTTATATATGTTTTATTATTAGTATTATTTTTGTTGTTTATTAATTAAATTTTAGTAGCACCAACCGTGTCTGTCTGGTAACCTGGCACCCCCACCAAACTTTATATTCAACTGAATTCACATTTGGGTTTTTCTAAAGCTGGGTGACTAAAAAGAGGCATTCCTTGTCGTTACGTATCCTACCGTGCCCAGATTGATATTAGCCGATTATGGCATGGGTTAAATATAAATTAAAATGTGTTTGATATTCAAAGCGAACGCGAGATATTTGAATAATACTGTTTGCGATTCTGGCCGGTATAAATACCGCGAGCGCTACCATAAGCGCTTTTAAATGTGGCTGGTTGCTCTTTATGCATTAGCTTAAAATGAACCGGAACAGTAGCGTTGTGGGAGTCATTCTCGTAAGTACTCGTCGAATTTCGACTTTTTTAAATTGCAAATTCAAATTTTAAAGGTTCAATTTTTTTGTTGTATTTGTAGTTGTCAAGTCATATGATTAACAATATCACAATAATTTTATTATTATTGATATGACAGTAATAATTTTTATTTTTATTTTAATTTTTGTTAGGTTTGAGGGATATATTTATTTTCAGATGCTCTTCCTTTTCTTCTGCAAGGGATTCGTAGAAGCTGCTCCAAAGTTTAACACTTTCTTCGCCTTCAGAGCCCCTGACGAGTTCTTCAGTGGAGAAATTGGCAACATTGTTAACGATATAGGATATATTGGCCATGGTGGATATTCCGACCCTTCCTCAGAATTTATATATTGAACAGTATTAGCAAATTCATTTATTCCTAGTTGTGATATTATTTAATTATTTTTGTACATAAATATATTATTTTTTTTAAACTTTTGTTTTATTTGTAATTATTTTTGAAACTTGAACTGCTTACTGTTTTACTTAAAAGGTAATAAGCTAATTAAAAAATTGAATAATTTCAAATATTTCGAATTTTCACCACCAAGAACGGCGGTGACAGCATTTTTAACATTAAAGCGACGTTTCGCATTGTATTAGCTATGTCCTGTCTAAATTTTGTTCATATAACTCTCTTGGTTTCGACAATGCAATAACTATGTATGTTTTCAGTCACGAAAATTGCATAATTTCAAATATTCATTCAAATTGTTCAAATTTAATAAAAAAGTATAAAAGCTAATAATAAAAAAAACGTATAATTTAATTGACATGAAAAGAAAAATATAATACTCAACAGCATCAACTTATCTTAAATAAGGTTTTAGAGAAGGCACTTTTCCAAATTTACGCTCGGAAATGTTATAGTTTTTTTTTCACATTTGACTTGATATCGGAGTTTCTTGGAGAGGTTTTCGACATATTAACTATGTCATGTGTTGCAGTAAATTGTGATGATAAATTATTCAAGACTTCTTTTCGAAAAACGATCTCTTTCCTTTTAAAAAATAGATAGCGATGTCATAGCTTCTGCATGTTCATTTTTATACCTAGTGAGACATTTTAGTGAGGCATTTAGTGAAATCTCGAAAATTATAAGAAAAAGAGAAACGGTTAAATGAAGAAGATATTATTTTGAAAATTCTTCTGAAATATTTTAGAAAAAAAGAACAAATACTGCAATTTTCGAAATTTAAGCTCCAATAAACTTTTTTTTCTGCGCCATATTGATATGTATGCTGATCGAGATAAGTAAAAAAAAAACATTAAGGTTTTTATAGATTTAAAAAATTTTTAAGCAAAAGAATTACAGTAAATTTTCGGAAATCCAACAATGGCCTTTTTTAAAAAATATGTCAAAAATGGAAAGAAGTAGAGCAATTCTACCAGCGCCAGTCAAAAACTTTCTTTACTCAACCATTTTTCTCTCCTTTAAATGAACCGTCATCTGAAAAACTTTCTACCTAACATCTACCCATCCTGTTGTTCACAGAAAATATAGTGTATTAAAAAGGTGTTATCTTTTTCTGATTACATATTTGTTACATAGATTTTTTTTACTTATGTCCACATTTTGCTTTATCTTAATATCAAGGAAATATATCGCATATAAAAACAGGATTATGGATTACCTTGTATACTAAACATACATTATTACCGTCAATGTCACAATTTGCATGGGTGCATCTTTGCCTAGTACCAGTAAATTTAACTATTAGCTCTAAATTGTATCTGTATCAACAGATATTCGTTAATTATCGTCAGTATTGTAATACTAATAAGATTAATCGCTATAATTTATAAACAAATGTCCGATAATCATAATAGGATTGTTTCAAATTAATGCATACAATAAAAAAAGTTATAGGCGTGGCAACGATGGCAGGTTGTTCTAAAATGATAATACCTCCTTGAAAAAAGACAGTCCAAAATGTATATATACCGAGGTAAGTGATCAGAAGGATAAGTTTGTTAGATACCTGTCAACAAGCAACTATACAAAATGTTCAAATACGTAAGTACAAACAATAAATGATCTTTCAATTTTTATACTTTATTATAAATAGACAATATTTCAATTGATTTTTTTATGCCTCATAATTTTTTTGGTTTGGGAAATATTTTCCAAAAATATTTGACCATTCTTACCATCTGTCTGCAACTAAAATAATTAAAATTGATCTAAATTTTAGGAGAAAAACCTGATCTTTATAAAAGAAAACAATACTTACATTTTTAGGACTAGAATAATTTGTTGGTACTACCCATTTAATAATGTTTCTGTTTTTCCTCAGTTGGTATTCTTCGCCCTCTTGGCTATTGCCTTCGCCGTCGCCTCCGCCAACCCAGACCCAGCTGCTCGTCCAAACCCTCAAGTACTCTCCTACGGAGCCCTGCCCTACGCTGCCTACCCCTACAACTATTATGGAGGAGTCTACGTTTAAAAAATTCCCCGCCAAATTCAACGTCAGCTTTAATGTGTACCACTTTTTGATTCTTTGAGCATTTAATAAAAATTTAGTTTTTTATGAGAGTGTTTCTTTGATGCGGTTTTTAACAAACAACCACCGAGCTCTTCAAATTTTTACAAATGATTATCTATTTATTTATTTTCTAACAGGCATACATCCAAGTTACATGGAAAGTATGATATTGAATAGTCTCATTAAAAAGAACGAAGGAAACTTGATAATACACAAACAAAAAAAATGTAAATAGTACAACAATTGCATTTTTAGATAACCATTTCTTATAAACAACAGAATATTTTATAAAAATTATTAAATAATTTATTACAATTAGCAAAACAAGATGATTTATGATTGATTTTCTATACTGATACTGATTGACATTGAAAGTATCAAGAAGGGATATTATTTTGAGACTTGAAGATGCATCAAAACGTTGGCAAAAATGTATAATAATTGTGTTATTTTAGTTTAATCTTTTTAAATTCATTGTGAATTAATTTCTATGACATGGTGGGAGACAGTGTTGGGCAAAATTAAATTGTTGGACAGTTGAAAATTAACAATTAATTACTGTCACTTATTGTTATTATATACTTCAAACTAACTTATATCAAAAAATCAGACAAGTTGGCCAAAATTGTGATTTAAAGACCCATTTAATTCGACTAAATAGTTAAGATTGGATTTTAACCACCCTCTTCTGAAACATACTGTCTGACAATGTAAGGCTCTTTGGCAGATTAGTCATTAAGGCAGAGGAAAATAAGTCTAGAAGTATTAAAGTTATATAATTGTTAGTTTTAAATGTTTTTTAGAACAATTGTTGCAAGAAACAATTAATATAGATTAATCCGAATAAATTTATTACAACGTGCAATTGATAGTTCAATTGCAATTAATTTTATATCCAATTAAATTAATCGCAATTACTTTTAAAATTAATTATTTGATTGAAAATTTAATTGATTAATCCCCAACATTGGTGGGAGGTTATTTTGAGAATGTTCAGCAAAATTCTTTAAAACAAAAATGTAGTTTGTTATATTTTTTTTTTTTGAAAAACGGATTCTTAACCTTGTAAGCATTTGTAGCATTTTCAGTTTTATTTATTTTGCCAAGCTGAAAAAGAAAAAAAATAAATAGCTGTTTGTCTCAAAAGAAACTGTTGATTTTATAAATTTAGTTTTGTCCCATTAGAAATATCTAATATTACAAAAGTAGATAATTCAGGAAACAATAATCAGTAAAACACATTGCACAGTTTATGTTTCAAAAACCTCTGTCAGCGTTATCAAAATTTTTCAAAAGTCAAACGTAACATTTTCTTGATATTGTGTATCTAAAAAAAATCAACCAATTCATAAATCAAAATTTAAGGAATTATTTGAAGCCCATCTATTTAAAAAATAAACACAGAGTGTTTGGCGTAGAGTTTATAATAAAAAAATGAAAATAGACAAATTATATTACCTACCATAGAAAGGCTTACCTATGCTGAAAGTGAATACCTTTGCTGAAAAAATCAGTATTAGATATATATTTTTACACTAAAAATGTATCATTAGTTGTGAAAAAAGCTTTTATCTAAATATCACCCTGTATATTAAAAAAGTAGCACTGAAACAGCATAGTTATTAATACTTTTTAGAAACATTGATAATATTGTACTGTTAGATTTAATCTCGAAGCTTGATAAATAGATGTATGTTGAAACATGATCATTTGGCAACCTTGTTTATGAAATCATTTATCAAAAATTAATATGCATTTGCTTTTAGCAACATTTCAACGGAAACAAAAGCTTTAGCATTTAATTTATCTCTATTAGAAACAAGAATAGAAAAGTAGAAACATTGCTAATTTTAACAATATTGAATAATTACAAGAGAGATTGGAAGAATATGATGGATACGGATTTTCATAGGAACTAGGAATATTAAAAAAAATTCAAAATATGAAAAATACGGATCTGCAGGATATATTGTTCTATAAAACTGACTATTTCTGAAGTTACGTAGTATATTATGCAGAATGTAATTTTTTCGTGTCAAATAGTAATAATAATAAAATTTTTGAACCTTAGACATATATACCATTCATTGCAGTGTATTTCTAATAGTGAAAATATCTAAGGTTTGATCTTAAAAAATTGTATCTGTTTTTATATAATTTGATTAAATATTTAATGAAAAGGGATAAATATCCTCCTAAGTATTTTCTTAGGCAAGTTTTCTCTTATCTATTAAGAAAAGAATAAAATCAGCAATGCAAGCGTTTTTCAATTAGAGTTATCTAAAAGGTATAAAACAAACTAAAAAATATATATTGTTGTTTTCTTACATTCAAGAAATTAATTGCATCCGTCTTTACAAAACACTTGCTATAATTAGTATTAATTTATACGATGTCGTCTTAATGTATTTTGATTAGACAATCGAAATTTGTGGAACAGATTTAAGTCGGTATCAATAATAAGAAAAAAAACACAATGGGTGTGACATTTTTACATATGGCATTTTGGATTAATGTATTCGTTATAAAAAAATCAGTAGCACAGGTATATATAGCGGTGTAATCGATTAGGAACTTAAGTTTGTTAGTGATTTACAACAAGCAACTCTCCAACATGTTCAAATACGTAAGTACAATTACTTGTATCTGTATGTTTTCCTAAAGCCATTGCTCTTGCACAGGAATATAACGATTTATTTTCTTTAAATTTCACTCGTATCTAAAGAATAAAATACATGGAATTCAAAATTGATTGTATCTTAAGCTTTCTCGGAAAACTAAACTTTACCAAGCCTTACAAACATTTTATTTTTTACAGTTGGTATTCTTCGCCCTTTTGGCCGTTGTCCTGGCTGTAGCTGTTGCCAATCCAAACCCAGCCGCCAGACCAAACCCTCAAATTCTCTCATACGGTGCCCTCCCAGTTGCTGGCTACCCCTATGGATACTCCAGCTACTATGGAACAGTAGTGGTCTAAGGACTGGACAAAACGGCGCAAATCTGGCTTTATCGTGGTACACATCTCTTCAATATGGACAATTTATGTATAATATAAACAAAAATAAAAAATCTTAGTTTTTTACTACATTGTTTTAATTTCTGCATTCTGGTGGATATCATGAAGACTGCAAAGACGCGGTTGTCATCAAAATGATAATAAAAACGTATTTGAAATAGGAGAATTAAAGATCTCAATAATATACTTGAAGATAATCAGTATACAGTTACTTTTCACAAAGTAAAGTATGACAACATATTAGCACTTCGTTAGAAATGAAAATTAAAATAATAAAAAATGTTATTCTGGGTGCGTTTTTGTTGCAGAATATTCTCCTAAGCAAAAACAGCACACAAAAAATATCTTTTATATTTTTTTTCCATCACAATTATACAGAGTGTCCTGCATAAGATTCGAGGAGTGTCCAAAATATTGGAATTTAACCAAACTTACCTATATACAAAGTTACATTTTTTTTACTTTTGTTAAATTTTAAAAAACTTTATGGTTTTCAAGAAAAACCGTATTAACTGACACAAGATTTTAACAGTGTTCATTAGAAAATAATCAAAAAGTCAGTATTAAATTAGAGGGTGGAAATTGGAGACAGGGGTGATAATACACCCCTTTCAGTTTTTTAATTATAGCTCGAAAACGAAGCATAATTTCGCTATTTTTTTTTAGTAGAAGTAGGCAAAGAAAATTGCTGTACAAAAAAACTAGATGAGATTCCCGTCAAAGTGATGCGTTTTCAAAAGTTTTTGGACTAATATTGACTGAGTTATAACCGGCCAAACTTAAATATTTTTTAGATTTTCGTCGTTTTTAACATAATAATGACTATAATTCGTCTTATTTTTACAACAAATTGGTTCTTTACTTAATAAAAAATTATTTCAAAAGTTTTATTTGTTAATAATAAATAAAGATTTTCACAACTTAGAGTCAAGAAAGTAAATAAAATCAAAACATTTTTTACTTATTTACTAATTTTTTGCTTTTTTAAAATTGTTTATTAACGATTTTTTGCATAAAAGTTTTCTTTTAAATTTTTTAAATAAGCCCTTTCGATGGGAAATTTAATTCTCTATAAAATTTTTGCTATGAACTATACCAAAATTTTGCAAAAAAATTTCAAAAGTGCATTTTCACCCCTATCTTCAATTTGAATCCTCTAATTTAATAACAATCCGGGGTTTTTTCATTTTTAATGACCCATCAAACAAGTCATGTGATGAAAATTCTTGAACGTCTTATTTCTTCCTTTTTTGTAAAAAAATGAGAATTAAAACGTATTAGGGTGATCGCGACGAAAATCGAAAAATTGGCTATTTGTAATTTTGAGCGGCCATATATCAATCAATTTTCATCCAAAAATACTTTACAACCTCTTATTTTGAAGGAAATTTTATTAATTTTTTTTTCTATGAAGCAATGCCTATACCCATCTTTACTCAAAAAAAAAACTAGAGGCAAAAAATTTAAAAAAAAAATTAAAAAATCGAATTTTTTGCTTTTTTTCAAATTATTTATTAACGATTTTTAACGTAAAATTTTCCTTTTAAATTTTTTAAATGAGCCATTTTGATGGGAAATTCAATTCTTTAAATAATTTTTCCTATAAACTATAGCGAAATTTTGCTTCGTTTACGAGCTACAACTAAAAAACTGAAAGGGGTGCATTTTCACCCCTATCTCCAATTTCTACCCTCTAATTTAATAGCACTCCGCGGTTTTTACATCTAAAATGACCTTTTGAACGATTCATGCAATAAAATTGATTGAACGTCATAGTTCCTTTGAACCCTGTTTTTTTGGATACGAGTATAATAATAATATTACAATGAATTTAGAATTCTGGTGTTTTTATTTATGAACTTTTAATTTGTTGAATATGTTCCAAAGGTTTATTAATATCGTCGGTTTTGCACTACAAAAAATGCATTCCTTCTCTTAAGAGAGAAAAATGTAAGTCTTCCTTTTCTTATAAAGCTTCATATATATTACAGGGATACTGTTACATTATACATACTTATACTTTCAATACCATAGTCTGTTGATAACAATTGTAAAACATTGGATATATCTTCTTCTGCCCTTGAACATTTCAATATGCAAGTATTTTGAATGGTATGATAAATTTGACGTTTAGTCTTGTATTGTTTTCATCCGAATGGAGGTGTTATAACTATTGAAACAAAGTTTATCACATCGATTGAACTTAATAGTGTCATCTGTATATTACCTCACACTGAAGTTTATTGCTTTAAAATACCACAATACTCAATGAGTCACAGCCCAATATTGAGTTTCAATTAAAAATTACTAGATACGACATATCAACAGTGGCTTTTTGGTTAGATACAATAAAATCTTGAAAAATTTTAAAGCAAATTGTCGCAAAATGTTCAAGCTCCGACCACTCTTGGCAACAGACTGTTTCGAAAGCTACAAATACATCAAATCAGTACTTCCAGGATAAGACAATAAGAAGTGGGTGACACAGTTTAAATTAATACAAACATTAAAAAAATATGGGTGTGCTACAGATTCGTGAGGAGATATGAAATAATTTATGCGTGAAAAAATCGAGAAGCATATATATACCGACTCAATACACCAAAGGGATAAGTTTGTTACTGATCCGCAACAAGCAACTTTTCAACATGTTCAAATACGTAAGTCCCCAATTTTCATAATTATCCGTCTGGTAATAATACTTGTTTGTCTCGCAATACATCTGCAATTATTATTTTTTCTATCCTACGTTTGTGTTTTCAGTTGGTATTCTTCGCCCTCTTGGCTGTCGCTTTCGCCGTCGCCTCCGCCAACCCCGACCCAGCTGCTCGTCCAAACCCTCAAGTACTCACCTATGGAGCTCTACCCTACGCTAGCTACCCTTACGGATATTCTAGCTACTATGGAAGAATTGTGGGTTGAGGTGTGGACAGGAAATGCAAGTTCGTCTCTAATGGTGTATAAAAATGTTTACGTTTAAAAACTTTCCTTGTAATGTATAAAAATAAATAAAAATAGGCTATCTAATATTGAGTTTTAGTTTTTTTGAATTTTACTTGCGCACGAACACCCCAAAGTGTTAGGAAAAATATCTCTGCAACACTTTACCGCAGAAGAACCAAATCTGGTACATGATTTAGGTTTATTACTGGTCTTCTTTGACTATGATTTAAAGTTAATTGAAGCACTACAAGGTGTTCATTGGGGATGACTCACCCCTAAAATAGTACCGAACTTTTTTTTCAATTACCAAATTGAAAAATAATAATATTAATTCACAGCAGAATTTAATTTTAAAAATTTTTTTACTCTTGTTAAATTTTAAAAAACTTTATGGATTTCAAGAAAAACCGTATTAACTGAAACAAGATTTTAACAGTGTTTATTAGAAAATAATCGAAAAGTCAGTAGTAGGCAATGAATTTATCTTTCAAACTAGTCAGTTAGTAACAAAATTATTTTATTTCAACAATTGCCTCTGATTGTTGTTGAAAACATATCAATTACTATTTTTATTATTTTTTATTTTTGTGTTTTACTTAATACAATATTCGCTTATGTAAAAACTACCTAGGTACTTGTTTTCTTTTTGTAGAATTAGGAGAGAAGTGAAGTAAGATTTATTTGGCCAAATGTCAAATTTGAAAGATAAAGCCTACTACTGACTTTTTGATTATTTTCTATTGAACACTGTTGTCAGTTAATACGGTTTTTCTTGAAAATCATAAAGTTTTTTAAAATTTCTCAAGAGTAAAAAAAAATTTAAATTAAATTCTGCTGTGAATTAATATTACTATTTTTCAACTCGGCCAATGAAAAAAAAGTTCGGTACAATTTTACGGGTGAGTCATCCCCAATGAACACCATGTAGTGCTTCAATTAAATTTAAATCATAGTCAAAGAAGGCCATTAATAAACCTAAATCATGTACCAATTTTGGTTCTTCTACGGTAAAGTGTGAGATATTAATTTTTTTCGAAATTTAGGGCCCCATTGATAATTTTATGAGGAGTTCTGAAAGATGCACAAAGAAAATCCTCACAATATCTAAGATTTAATGGAGAAAACATAGAACAAAGTTGGTACAATCAATAAAGTGGTTAATAAGACATTTGTCTAAAAGATACAGTGGACAAAGGACAAAATATAGTTTTTAATCCATTTCAAATACTTAATAGTAAATAAAATGAAACGTTTAATAATTTATGTGCTCTACGTTTTTAAATTTATTATCCCTATACCTTTGTACTAGAAATAGACTATGGACTGTATAGCTATCATATCTTACTAAAGTAATTCATCTTCAATAGTTTCTGTAAATGTCTTTTTAACTTTATAAACATTATGGTAAATTAGTTGTTGCCTTTCCTACATATTTTCATAGTAGATATGTATTATAAAAAGCATTTAGGTAATTAATTCCAATAAATAACATGCAAACAAGTTTCTATCGGAAATGTAAAGGTAGATGATAAGAAAATATGTAGCATCTACACTGTATAGTCAAAGTGTAAGAAATATTCGGTCATGACCGCTGGGCGCAGGGGTGGTACGATCGGAGTCATTTTTGTCGCTTTGTAGGTTTACTATGTTCATTTTCTGTCAGAAATTTTTTTGGTGGTTCTTTTTCTTTCTTGATTTTACTTTATTTTGCTACTTGAATAATTTCAAAATTTTATAATTACAAAATTGAGATATAAATGGGAAACCGTTTCCACTGCTGATTAAATCTAATTTTCTTGTTAAACATAACTTACTGCGTTTAAAAATAGACAAATATATAAAAACAAATTTATTTATTGTTGATTAGCTAGTGTACAGAATTTCCATCCAAATAAAAAAATCATAACCGTAGAGAGCGTTTCAGAAAGGTCCTAATGTTTCAGTAAACCACACCTCCATAGTATCCGGAAGAGTAGTAGGGGGCAGAGTAGGCTAAGGGTACAGCTCCATATGAAGAGTAGACCAATGGTTTGGGGGCTGGTGCAGGGTCAGCAGATGCTACGGCGAAGGCTACGGCCAACAGGGCGAAAAATACCAACTGGAAATGGAAATTTTGTGTTAATCTTGCAAGTTTAAATATAAAATTTCATTCATTCAACTAAATTTAAATTTCAATAATATTTCATTAGGTTCAGTACTGCTTTAATATTATTCAACTTATTTAATATTATTAACTCAAAAAAATATATATAGCAATATTAGCAGTATGTACTATTAATTTAATATAAATATGACTTACGTATTTGAACATGATTTCTAAGTTGCTTGATACAGGTTACTGAACAAACTTATGTCTGCATTGGTTTTTAGATCAATATATATAGTCTCCCATTTTTTTTTGGACACGCATACATTAGTACAATAATGGAACGCGTCTACTCTTGACACGCCCACTGAATTAATTTGACAATACAAATTAATTCCAATTAATTATCGCTTAAGCAAAAAATCGGCAATAGCAGAGAAGGTATTATTCAGTTACAATTTTTCTTGTTGGCAGTTTTTGTCGTCTGTTTCCTTGGTTTCCTGAGAAAGCCCTTAAATGTCCATGTCAACCTCTATTTATGGAAAAATTAAGTTTTGAAGATATATTAAATGTAAATATTTATTATACAGGTTGTCATTTTTTAGCGGTGACAAACAGCATTATATCGATAAGTACGAAAAGTTGAAAAACTTTCATTACAAAAAATTATTTTACAAAATTCTGTCTATAATTATTTATTTTTAGCAATGTTAGTACTTTTTATAATATAAAATATTTTATAGCATTAAAAGTGAATTAAATCATTTAAAAATTTCAAATTTGTCCTAAAGAAACAATGAAGCTTCATAATCATGATTAAAATGGAAAAAAAATTTGTTGAGGTTTTATCACAATTTTACCGCAAATGTAACGTTATTGATGTAAAAAAAATAATTTTTTTTTCAGAGAAGAAAAAGGGTAGTCTGAAAAAAACTGTTTTATAAGTGATTACAGACTGCACAAAAATTAATTAGAAAGTCTCAAAAAATCGATATGAATCGGGGTCGAAATTTGGTTTGGGTCATCCACTTTCATTTTAATTTAATTAAATACCGATGAACAGAAGCATAGGACGAAAAAGCCGAATCATGCTGGAAACAATTATTGGATTTGTTTTCTTCAATGTCCGGAAGGTTTTCCAAAGAAACAAAAAAAAAAATTTTTCATCAATTTAAACGTTATTTGCGGTAAAAAAGTGAGAAAACCTCGAAAAAAATATTTTTTTTTCATTGATTATTTTTCCATGATTATGAAGTGTTTAAGCTCAAAAAACGTGACCTCTTAAATTTTTTCAAAAGTTTGACTGTTTGAAACAAAAAAACAGTTCACTAGATCGAGATGAAACTTCACAGGGTTCTTCTGGGTATATCGAACTGTAAAAGTCATGCTTGACATTAGTCATTTCGTGAATATTTCCAATTCAGCCGCCAATTATCTAAAAAACCATAAATTACCTTTTTTCTTGTTTTTTAAAATTCGTGTAAAAGATGAAAGAATATTTTTCCGAAAAGTTGCGGCATTTATTCCAGTTTTCCAAACTGTCCTTCAATTCTCTGTACGATCATTTGTCGCCGAAATATCGATGATTGAAAACAAAAGGAACCTTTTTCCATTAAAAGTCCCACATTTCAGTGAAAAATGGTCGTATCGAAATTTAAAAAAAGGAAACTGAAGCGTGGAAAATTTGCAGAACTTTTTTGTCGCGCTATTTCTCAGAATTGCATGATAACCGTAGCTCTTTAGAGCTTCAAAATGCTTTTTAATTAATTTTTTGTATTGGCTTTAAATCAGAGTAAAGTCTTAATTAGTAATATGTCATTAGGTAATGACCAATTAAAGATTTATTCCCCACAACAGATATTTGCATACAAACGAAGTGAAANTTTAATCATGATTATGAAGTGTTTAAGCTCAAAAAACGTGACCTCTTAAATTTTTTCAAAAGTTTGACTGTTTGAAACAAAAAAACAGTTCACTAGATCGAGATGAAACTTCACAGGGTTCTTCTGGGTATATTGAACTGTAAAAGTCATGCTTGATATTAGTCATTTCGTGAATATTTCCAATTCAGCCGCCAATTATCTAAAAATTACCTTTTTTCTTGTTTTTTAAAATTCGTGTAAAAGATGAAAGAATTTTTTTTCCGAAAAGTTACGGCATTTATTCCAGTTTTCCAAACTGTCCTTCAATTCTCTGTACGACCATTTGTCGCCGAGATATCGATGATTGAAAACAAAAGTATCCTTTTTCCATTAAAAGTCCCACATTTCAGTGAAAAATGGTCGTATCGAAATTTAAAAAAAGGAAACTGAAGCTGAATAAACAAGCTATCTGGTTCATGCAATGACTTAGCGTGGAAAATTTGCAAAATTTTTTTGTCGCGCTATTTCTCAGAAATAGCTCTTTAGAGCTTCAAAATGCTTTTTAATTAATTTTTTGTATTGGCTTTAAATCAGAGTAAAGTCTTAATTAGTAATATGTCATTAGGTAATGGCCAATTAAAGATTTATTCCCCACAACAGATATTTGCATACAAACGAAGTGAAACGAATGACACAACAAAGGAAAATGTCAGTCAAACAGCCAAGCGCCGAAGGAAAACCTGTGCCTCGTCACTATATTTGCCTACCAGAAGATCGCGAACCCAAAATTGCGTTTTACAGACACCCATACCACACCCATATTGAGACCAATGAGCAGCAGTAGGAGACACCGACACCTGTTTTCACTAATGTTTTGTTTTCAGTTCCGGCATCTATTTCAGGTTTCATGCCGAAACTGAGCCAGATAAATTAAATGTGGTCAAGCAAGCCAACTATTTTAATATTAATAGTCGGAGATTAATTATATTTTGTATGTTTGCATGTATCATTTAAATGTAATGTTGTAGGTACATATTTACATATGATAGAAAATTCAGAAGGCAAGTTTTTTTCTACCTGTGAAAAATTTATAAAAATAATGAAATAAATCCTTCCGCCAAAATGATCACTGAAGGCATATTTTTAATGGAACTAATTTTGCCCCTGAAAAAAAGCAGGCAAATACAAAATTCAAAAACACCACTATATTTTAAAAAGTTTCGAAAATCTATTCGTAAAACTTATAATGATTTTTCAATTTTTAATTATTTTTGAAAGTTTCAAATTGTTTGTGTTCACCTGTTTTCATAGTTAGAGATATTATATAATGTTTATTCTGTTATTATATACTTCATTTAGAATTTATAGCTAACAAGGATGCAAAATCAAAAACAAATCTTTTACCGTTCAACAAAATAATTGCGGCCTCTTTTAATTTTCTTTTAAGGGCATTATTTTCCATCTTGAAAATTTCAGCAGATTCTCACTGAATTATACGATCGTTTTCTCAAGCGTTATGGCAAATTTTTTATCTCTAAAATTATGATTTTTTAATGTAATCTTTATACTCGTCTATTATAATTTTTAAAAATTTTTAGTCCAATACAATGCTTATTGCATTCATATACAATTTTTCGAATTTTGTAAATTACTATTTGGGCTGACAAGTAAAATATTATTTTATTCTAATAATAAATCACTTACCACCTATTGTTCTTATTTTTTCCGATAATACAGGAATACATGGAATTTTTATTATTGCCGTCATTACCGCTTACTGTCTTACAGACTTTGTTTTAGATACTTTTAATATTTTTAAAATCTGTGTGAACAAAATCCTCATGGTATTGATTGTCTGTTAGTACATTTTTTATGAATTTCAGTTCATTAATAAAAATATCATGTTTTGAGTAGATCAATTTGGCTCTATCGTACAAATATTTAATTACACCTTTCTATATATCAAAATGATGAATTTTTAAATAATTCTCAAAATTTAATATTTTTGCTTCAGAAATAATGAATGAAATACCAACATAGTCGCATCTTTCAATAGATAATTATTTTCATGAATAAAAATTAATTTATTCAAATCCGTGAAGTTCATTTTTTTGTTATTTAATTAAAGGTGTATTTTAATTTTGTTAATGAGCAAAGCTTAATCACAGTCCACGCAACAATGGGCGTGGTCAACTAGGTGTAGTTTTTAGCACCTAATACATTCCTACCAAAAGTGTGAACTAGTATATAAATTAAGATTTAAGCTGTGAGCGACATAAGTTTGTTCACTGTCTTGTAACAAGCAACTTCAATCAAAATGTTCAAATACGTAAGTACATAATAAAATTGTCGGGAATTAAGACATCACTACTATATTTTTTTACTCTTATTTTAAACTAAACTTAATTGGGATCAAATTTAAGAAAAAACTTAAAAAATTGTTTGTTTGGAATTTTTTATATACAATTACTTTCGTGGAATTTTTAATACCATTTAACTACAGGTGTTTTTTTACTTTTTTTACATTTAAAATTTACAAAAATGATGAAAATCTGTAAAGGTAAGTGGATTATTATTATCTTCTTTTTTCAGTTGGTATTCTTCACCCTCTTGGCTGTTGCCTTCGCCGTAGCGTCTGCCGACCCCGCACCAGCCCCCAAACCACTCGTCTACTCCTCCTATGGAGCAGTCCCTGTAGCCTACTCTGCTCCCTATCCATACGCTGCTGGCTACTATGGAAGTGTGTTTTATTAAGCTACAACCACCACCGAAGGAAAGGAACTACTACGGCTATGATTTGTAAATTTTCACCCACCTAAATTGTTTAATTTGTTTGTTAGAAACAAATACGTTAAATATATTATGAATTTTATCATACACTTTGTATATTTATTTATCTTTCCGAAAGAAAATAATGACAATGTTCTTATTTCTTCTTGAAAATCAATCTGCACTTGAGCTTTTGTATTTGATGTATACATTGGTGACAACCAATGACACTTTTTTTATCAGAAGTTGTACACTAACAGTTGGGTCAAAACTTAAAATTTTCGTAGTTTAGTCATTGACTAAATTAGAAATTTTATCATGTTATCAATCATGTAAAATTCCTTATACGAATAAGCTAATTTTACATTTACGAATTTGGTGTTAAAGTAACTATAATGTAAGAAAAATGTACAGTGAAAATTAACACTAAAAAAAATGTTTGCTACAAAAAAATGTATGCATAAAAAAAAGCAATTATCTTACTTAAACCAAGGATACATTTATTTAGTATCCAATTGCAGATCTATTTAATTATTTATGCACAATTTGAGAAAATATATACCTACGTTTATTTATTTGTGTATATGTATGTATATAAACTTAAATCTTCTTATTAGTGAGATTAAAGCCTATTTTTTAGATGAAACTCTTTTTTCTATGTATATAAACATATAAGTTTGAACTATAGTAAGTAAAATTTCTTCTAGTATATGTACTTGCAGACTAATAAATTATTGTTTAAAGTTAATAATTTTTTACGTGTGTCTTTACAAAATTGGAAGATTTCACAGAAATTCCAGTCTTTCGATACGTTTTTTTTCGTTTATGTTCGAGAAGTAAATTATACATATAATGTACCACATTAACTGTTCAAAATACGTACGTAAGTATTCATGGCAATCATGAAATTGTAAACAATGTTAAAACCATATTAACGCAATGTAGCCCGACAAGAATTTTAACCAGTGTTGCGGTAGGTCCGGGCAAATTTTTACTATCCGATTTGCTCTTATTTTAATCGAACTCGTCAGAAGGTGACCAACTGCATGAACAAAGGGTTTTATCGTATATAAGCTGAATTTCTTGACACAAACGGCAGAATCTGTCTCAGACAAGCAGCATCACCTCCTCCACTTCAACATGTTCAAGCTGGTAAGAATTATTGTCTTAATACTGCATTATATAATTTTCCTAGATAACCTTAAATAGAACACCCTGTACATTTTACTATTTGAAAAGAACAGTATCTGAGAATTACAATGGTATAAAGTTTGATCTTGAGTTTGATGGATCATTTATAAAAATTTTGCTATACCTTTTAACTATTTCTATTGCTATTATTATTACTATCATTTAGATCACAGCACAATATTTTCAGGAAAAATAATATAGCTACCTGAAAAACTACACCTTTTATATGGTAAACTAGGAGATATTGATACATTTGTATTCTTTCAGTAGCTATATTTCTACCTACATCGTCATAATGTAGTAAATTGAAATTTTGTTTTAAATTAGACAAATAAATCTAGTTTTCCACTATAAATCATAATATAGTCATATTAGTAAATATGAAAATGTGTCAATTCCTCAATAATCCAACTTTGTTCCAATTTTTTTCTGTCTAGAATTAAATATCGTAAATATATAACTGTGTAACAGTTTTGCCTAACCAAAAATCTCAACTTTAAAACAATTTTTTTTTTCAGATCGCTTTCTTCGCCATCTTGGCTGCCGCTTTCGCCGCCCCCAAGCCAGACCCAGTGACATTGACTTATACCGTTGGACTACCTCTAGGCTACAGTAGCGGTTACGCGGCACCTATCAGTTACTCCTCCATCGGCTACAACAACTACGCACCATACGCTTCTGGCTACTATTACGGAGCGTCGCCTTACGCTTACAGAGGACTCTACTTGTGAAGCTTCGACGGGTGATGAATAGAAGACGGACTACGACTGATAGCCTTAAGCAAATTGTGTGTCTAGGAAATGTCAAAATTCGTGTCTGAATAAAAGTTAAAGAATTTATTTTATGTTTGTTATTAATTATACTGTATGTGCATATACCTATGGTGGTATGTGTAAACCCCAAAAAGTATACCCCAAAAAAATATGAGATGCAGAAAGGATCCATACGAGACCATAATGTAAAAAATAAATAAAACAGACATACAAGACAAGACACAAAATATTTGTCTATACGCTACTGGAATTTGTTCAGCTGTAATACCCGGATACAGTCTATTTTACACACAAAAAAATGACGAACTAATAAACAACTAACATTTTATTGAGGGCCATTTTGCCTTGCTTCTTCATAAATTAAAACAATATCCATTAATTTTGCATTGTCATAGACATTTTTGATTTAAACAATAAACCACAGTAATAAGAGCCCCAGGAAAACCACAGTAATACTGCATAGCAATACGACATTTGCCAAATTGATTCAGTTTTCATAGTGGTTTTCTGGACATTGTTTTCAAATTAAAATTAAAAGGTAAAAATTAGCCTAATTAGTATATTAATCTGTCAACCATTGACGGAGATGTTGGGGACACAGTCACTGTAAGATCCCCAGAATTTCACGTTATTGAGAAATCTGAAAATTGGATAAGGGCAATTAAATTTTATCTGCTAATGTAATTTCTAAGGAAAAGAGGAGTCTTCGATTTTATTCGGTGTTATAGCAAGATTGAATCAAGTAGTTCATGACATAATTGTCGCATAACTAATAGTAGGTAACTAAAATGTTATCAGTGAAATAAAATAAATGATTTCAAACAGGCATTACCGCACATAGTTAAGAGCTATTCATGGTCAAAGAACATAATCAAATCATGCAAATTTGAAATATATGTATTGTCAGTACTGGTCCAATATTATAATTAGTTTAGTTATTATACTCCACCCATTATTTTAATGTAAGGGTACAGGAACTATAAGGTGTATATAAGGCAGGAGCTTTTGGCGATATGTATCAGTTTATCCCAGCCAACTGAAATATCAACTAACAAAATGTTCAAATTCGTAAGTACAGACAGATTTTTTTATGTAAGGCAATTTGGATAATCAATTTGGCCTATTTACTTTCTCCTAACAAGATCGAAAACATAAATAAATTGTTTACTATATTCCTATTACAGAAAAATTGATTTTTGAACTGTAGTTGAAAAAAAAACATTTACAAACAATAATTTTCTCTAATTTCACAAACCATTTTCATTATTTCAATATTTTTGCTGTATTTTTAAGTTGTTTTCTATCTCTGTGTTAATATTTTCACTGTACAGCGGTAGACAAAAAAATGTTAACTTGTTAAAAACCCTGGTTAGGGGGGAACATTTTATTGTCCACAACGGTACACAAGAAACTTATTTTAAATCTTCTTTCAGTTCGCCATCGTCTTCGCCGCCGTCTTGGCTCTGGCCGCCGCCTCACCAAAAGCTAAACCAGGCTTCGTAGCCGCTGCCTACAGCGCCCCCCTTGTAGCCCCAGCTGTCGCCCCCGTAGCTTACTCTGCTCCCCTAGCTTACTCCGCCCCAGTAGTTGCCGCCGCTCCTTTGGCCTACTCTGGTCATATCAACCCCCTAGGTGTGCATATCTACTAAGCTGACTCCGTAGCCGGATTAGATTGATGAATTTTTGGATATTTATTTTGAAATTGAAATTTGATTTAGGTTAAATAAATTGTATGATTTATTTCTTTCTTTTTATTCACCTAGTGCAATTTTTGAAGTGAGTATTATAAGGGTACCAATTTCATTTGAGCCCCATGGGATGAATTTTTATGATGTATATTCTATATTTCATTACTATTTGGATTTGGTACAATCTAAAGCAAAAACTATATTTAAGTGACATCGAGTGGTATAGTGATTTGTCATGGTCAAAGAAATAATTGTACTTAAAAGTCTGTTTTATTACTAAATACTGGAAATCCATCTGAATTTTTATTTTACACGAATACGAGGCTATTCTCAAGAGAAAACCCAGAAGCTTTGTGGTGGGTCAGATATAACACACCAATAACAAAGCAAAGAAGACTGAGCAAATATCAAAGTCAAATACACACACGCACACCATGTAGTATATTAGTATTTTCGCAAAACAAAAAACAGCTTTTTTTGTCAAGCAAAACTCACGCATTGACCTTGCCTGAAACCAAGATCCTTGTGCGAAGAACAATACATTCAGTAGGACGTTGACACAACTTATATGTAACAAGGAATCAGATTAATAATCGCTTATAAAAAAAACTTCTCAATGACCTTGCCCAAATTAGGAGTGTATTGTAATCAGCATCACTTCAGTTTGGTATTATTCTTAGATTAAATGTTAATTTGACTGTATAGTTAATTTAAATCACTGACACACTTAATTTTTTCAGAGATATAATTTTATGTGTGGAAGTTTGAATATATCTCGTGTTGACAGATGGTAGGTGGATTATATTATATAATTTATTGTATAAGTGTTTTAAGTAGCATTTTATCCCCGCAAGAATGTTTAAACGCGGGAACGTAGCTGCAATACAACGTTTTATCCATAATCTCATCACAATCATACTTGTGGAGTCAGAATTATTGGAATTTAATAAAAAAGTGTTCGTACGACTTGATATTTCTTACTAGTACTCAATAAAACGTGGTAGGTTTTGTTATACCTACTGGTTGCTATGGTACGTGTATTATCAATTATTTAATAATCAGTTCTATCTGAATTTGGTAAAAATGCAAGAAAGTAATTGTGTTCCTGTGGCTTTTGAAGAAGGTACCCTCAAGAGTTACTTCATTCCAGAATATCGCAAATCCAAAAGCATATATATCATTGTATCAGGCGCACTTTAACAACTTTATTGGCCAATAAAAGTGCTGATCTTACAACCATCAAACGGCATGGTGGATGAAAAAGCTCCTCTGTAGCAGAAAGGTATTTTGATGAGTCTTTATCTAACAAATTTGATATTGCAAGGAAAATCCAAGGAAAATATAGCTGTTCCTTAGAAGAAGATACATCCGTAACTGGTGCAAATTCTTCACAACCTTCGGCAAATGTAATGAGTTCCGAAAATGATGGCAACAATGCTACAACATACATACGGAAAGGAAGTTAACTGTGATAAAACAAAAAATAAATAAATTAAATTTATTATAGGTTTATTATTTTTTCTTTATTATACTAGTGAAATAAAGTTGCTTGATTCCCCTAGTGGATAAAGTATCACTTTAGACAGTTCATATGTGTGGTCCGATTATAAGGTGATTGTGGATCATATTAGTCAGTTATTAATGATTCAATCAAAGAAAGTAAGATATATGCAGTTGCTATTTGTTTTATACATATTTTCTAGCAGAGTCAGATATGTAGACTTAAATAAAAATGTAAAAGGGTTAACTATATAATGAACTTTGATCAATTCTGCATACGTGCTAAAGCTGCTCCATATCATTGATGAGGATTATAGTCGAATCCTAAACCCCTAATAAAATATGCCAGGGTAATTCAATCTATCTGCACTTTGTTGCATAATGAAACCACGTGTAACAGATTTGATTAATTCATAGCTATCGATTATAATGCATATATGTGCATTAGATTTTATAATTAGGTGATGCAGTGTTTCATAAGCTTTAGCAGTTTTAATTCATTTTAGCAATTAAAAATCATCGGTTGTTTTCCTTCCATAAATGTATTTTTAATATGTACTTGTTAAAATATATATATATAATATTATTAGCTCTAGGGTGGCCAAAACCCCAATGCTGAATAAGTAATCTTCCAAATTAATGAATCTTTGACCTTTGAAACACTTGCTTGATTAATCGTTAGGAAAGGAAGGACGAAAAACTATACTATCACTGTTCTTATTATTTATTATTTAATTTCAGTTAAGTGGAAGCATAGGAAAGCTCGATGTTGGCCTGGTGCCGTATATAGTAGGGGCACCATATGGTATGGGCCCACTTATACGTGTAGAATCTACTACTGTAGAAAGTGGTTCTCCTGCCGGTAGGTAAGACTTGGTCACATTACAGTCTGATGCTACTGCCAAGAAAACCAAAGACACAATCGCTACCTAAAAGATCCTGAATTACGTACATACTTATAACAAAGACTCCGAAACTACATCGTAAATATTAGTTGAGAGTAAAATACAAGAAAGTTTTCGTTAAAAGAATCACAACCTTTGCAATAAAGACTAAATCCTTTTCAATGTATATTAAATATATCCAATAAGGACAAAAATTGCTACATATACATATTTTTTATAGCTAGTTCCTGATTTATTAGTAAATGTAGTTTCTTTCAAAATGTTAAATATTATCTTAGAAATAAATACCAATTACTTACCAATTTTTTCATGTCGGTAACTAGTGTTGTGATACAATTAAGTTCATGATCTGGCTTTATATACAACGATGCATGTGCTTGTCATGTAAACTGTATTGTTTGTAGTTAAAAAAAAACACAATGTACACCCACAACAAAATTAATCATAAACAAAAGACTCACTGTCTCTTTGAGGTATCGCATGGTTGTATAAAATCGCTAGCTGAAAGGATATGGGGAAATATTCCAGTTATATACACTTTTAGCCTTCAATCAGTGGCATAATTAAATCAGCGTGGGTAGCAAATTTGAGTATTAAATTCAGTTCCATTTCATGGAAATTTTCGACAAATAGGCATTGCAAATAGTGACATGTGAGAAGCTGAAACAAGTTTTTTCCTATATATCATTCATAGAGACGAATAAATATAAAATCAAACAACACTGTAAAGCTAAATAAGCAAAACACTTTTATTACATTTATATAGTTTATGTAGATAATTGTAAATTGTGACTACTTCTTCGAGAGCAGATTTCCAGCAACAAAATTTTTTGGTAAGCTAAAAATAGCTTAAATCCTGTTGATACAGTGGAAAGTTCGTACCAAATTTGTTTCGGAAGCGACAGAAAAACACCAATTAAATTATTTTCATTACTAAACCATGTCTGTTTTAATTACGAGCTTAAATGAGGATGCGGATGTGGGAAAGGGGTTGATAAATATGGGTTTCGCCTCGACCTAACTGATTTGCGGAGGTTGTAGAGTATCAGACATACATTTACTACGTTCTGGGTACACAGCTGATTAGGGCAAATAAAATATAACTGGAAAATATTTGACATACTTACTCTCATGACACAGTTTTTTCTATATTTACGTACTAACATTAAGAGAAAATACGTTTTTTCGTCAAAGAAAAAAATTTAATTCGTCGTAAGTCGTATAACTTTTATGAGATTGTCATAAATACGATACAAAAAATGAACTGAATTTAATATATTGGAAATCTACGATGGGCACTATTTATACAGTGACTTTCATACCTAAGGTTGCTTAAACACAATACATATATTTCTAAAATGAACTTTCAGAGTCGATAATGTTCCTAAAAATAAAAATATATTTTATTAACAGATTTTATAAGGAAGCTACAGTGGTTTTGACAAGAGAAAATTAATTTTTCTTCAGGAAAGCCGTTAAGAAAATATATTTTTGAAAAACTGGATTCTTTCTAATAAATTTAATAAGTACAATAATACAAGAGTAATATTGTTATTTTCAACTTTTCATAGATATCTCTTATAATGAGGAAGAGATTGCTGAAAGAGTATGACAACAATAAACTTTAAACACTTTTGGCCATATCCTTCTCATTATTTGAATATCAAACCTTATTATACTACTATCGAAATAAATGAAATAGACCTCTGAGATTGGAAACCGATATTAAGAAAACGTAATGGCGAAAAAATTTAAAATTTGGACCATATATAGCCTCACTATTACTCTATTATATGCTAAAATTTCAGTTAGTTTCGTTTTCCCATTTTTTAGTTATTAATGAAAATGTTGAAAAAATCACGGTTTTCTGCCTACAAAATTGATACCTCTCACTCGTCGTAATTTTTTTGTTAATTGAGAAAAAAAAATCCAAATTTTTACTGACGATAAGTCGAAATATTGTCTTTAGTACTCTGAAGGTGATTTGTCTCAAAAGTTCTTCTTTTTTTTTATATATTTAAGTATTTTTTTTGCCAATACGTTTTCTTAATATCGGTTTCCAAACTCAGAAGTCTATTTCATTTATTTCGATAGTAGTGCTCTTTGAAATTTGTAAAAATATACAGGGTTGTGTTAAAAAATATGTCAGTTTGACTTGTATCTCCAAAATGCAATATTATTTTGTTTTTGTAACTACAATTTTTTAATCACAAGAAAATTTCCTGGCCCATACCAACTACGAAAGTAAAAGAGGGGTAGAATAACCCTGTGCAGACACATCTTTTTTAATTTCGGCTCTTCCCGAAAACAATTACTCTTTTCGATATTTGGATGTCTCTGAAATATCTTGCATATAGATCTGCACAATAAAAAAAGTACCTCTTGAGAAGATATCCTATGGTGCTACTTTATTCCATAGTGAGGCTTGTGGTGCCACCTAGATGTGTCTTTATTTGTTAGAATAAAATCAGAAGCACGAATTGAACGGATCCTGCGTTAAAAATATTCCAAATCAATGAAGGTGAGCATGATTTGCGTTGCAGTGTTGAATATTATGCCTCACATAAAACGATCGATGCATACATATGCAACCTTTAGCTTTATTCCATATTTTTTTTAATTCAAAAAAATGTTTACATGCTTTTTATGTTATTATTTGTAATTTATTTTTATTTGCTATCATTTTCGCATATTAACCTAGTTTAGATTTAAATTTTATATGCGTTGCCCTATTAATTAAAATTATTTTGTAAAATTGTATTTCCGTTGCAAAATTGATTTTTTTTATGAAGGCTCAAACCCCAGAAAAGGCGCATTTCCGGACCAAAGTTTATATAAACGTCCTCATGGCAGGCCCAGTATATGAAAAATTAGAAGATTTCTAAAAATTAGCTGTGTTATATACAGCGTATATCCTTGTACATGAAACATCGAAATAAGCAAATTTAACTAAACTTACTTTTATCACAAGTCGCTTCATTCAGCCATTAGAGGATTTCAAAGTTGACTTTTTTTAAATATCGCACTCCCTTGAAATAATCGGCTAATAATTTTTGCCGGGATTTGCTATATTTTCTATTTTTTTGTTTCATAGATGAAGGGTTTGTTTAAAATGTTTTGCTCTTGTAAAGTTTTTGTATTTGTAATAGTTTTGGGTTAATTAATCTTTTTTGTCAGATCAACAATTAATGACGTTATTTCAAAAATAATTTAAACAAAATATCTATTGTACACGAAATATTGGGACACCCTGTATATCCAGCAAATTTATAGAAGTTTGAACAAGTCTATTAAGATAAAGAAAAAATACCATAAAACATTTCGATTAAAATACCCAAATCGGTGATGTCTGGAAGAAAATTACTAAATTTTAAAACTGACTTGTTATGTCATCTGCAGCACCCAGAATTCATTAAGCTTCCGTACCAACTGCGTGTCACTTTCTACCAGAATATAAATTACTAGCGCCCGTGTTCTGTGTCAAAGCTTTCCCAAAATTCACTTTCGATATGATCCAATTATATAACCGATTAGCTCACCGTTACCCCACTGTTTCAATTTACCGGAGACTACTTGATATGCTGTTAAGAAAGGCGGCAGGGTCACGGTCAAAGTCTTTGGACGGCCTTGGTGTCTTTATGTTAACGATCTAGCGTTATTGATCAGTTCAGTTAGTTGTAACAGTTTCTTAGTTCATGTTAACATTGTGTCACTTTTGATTTAATCTAAAGTCAAATATAAAAGAAAAATATTTTCCGGACTAACGGATTAAGATTGAAGTCGACGCTTTTTGGATATTGTTTAATTTTTTTACCATAAATTGTGATTCTGTGTCATATCTGTAACTATTTCTGAATGTATTGCATATGCAACTCCTATTAAGTTTTTTATTTATTTTACCTTTTTCAAAAACATTTTTAACGATATATGTCATTATTTGAATGAAAGATCAATAGTTCTACTGATTGGGTTAAAGCAGTCACAGTTTCCAAAAGGGCTTATTCTTCCTGAAATTTTGAAACGTTTCAGAACTAGTGAAAATAGTCTGAAGGTCCCTTTTAAATCATTTTTGAAAACACTGAAAGTTCCTGACGTAACATAAGTAAATACACTTTCACAGAGAACAATATTTATTTACAAATAAATAAGTACAACAATTTCCAAGACCTTTCTTAAACGACTACATAAGACGCCGAGTAAGGAGAGTAAGCAGAGTATCCTGCAGCATAAACTGAAGGAGCGTAGTAGCTGGCATATGGAAGCGAGTAGGCAGAAGTATAGGCTACAGGAGCTGCAGCTACGACAGGTGCTGTATATGCAGCGGCTATCACACTTGGCTTGGGTTCAGGTTTTGCCTCAGGCTTTGGCTCAGGAGCTGGAGCGGCCAAAGCAACAGCTAAGACGACAGCGAAAACGAACTGAAAACGAGAAAAAATTATAATAATTAAGCAACGTACGTTGTAAACAAATTATGAAAAACATTTCTAGACTAACTTCAAGTCATAAACTTTAGAACAAATAAGATTCACTTTCGTCTTGACAAAACACACACGAATTTCACAAAATTATACCATTATCACTTTATTTCACTTACAAGCTTGAACATTTTGGTAGTTTTGTTGGTAAAGTTGCTGTAGCAAGTACTGACACTTCGATAAACCAAACTGGTACCCTCTGACTTTTATATACGATATATTTAGTGGGGTGAAAAGATTTAGGGGTCACCTAAGTATATTCGGCGACAATTAAAATGCAAGACGTATATTGTTTGTTATGGGATACACAATGTTTTGAAATAGTACCTAACATTGACAGTATTACGAGCGTAATTTCACAAAAAGTACTTGGTCCCATTTTCGAGGAGCATACGAAAGCACCATGAGACACGTTGGTGTGGAAGACAAGGAGATACACGCTGGAAATGGGTTGGTACACCTGAGGAATATTTTAACTGCAACCGTTATTTGTGCAAGAAAATTTCTTTTCTTTGGGCACACGTAACCTGAATGAAAAATTTGTAATAGTAGCTAACATTCCTTATAAGAGCAATAGTATGAAGCCATTGTGATAAGCGAAAGGTGGCCATATTCCTGGCCGAGAAATAGTGAAATTTCTGTCGTTTTTAGGTACTGAAATCTTTAAAAATAAAACGTGTAGAACAAAAGTAAGCGCAAAAATAAAATCCTTGATTTTTTGTTTATTCATTGTTACCATTTAAATTTTCTCAAATAAAATAATAACTAAAAAAAGCGTTTGTAAAACATGCGTTTGCTGTTATTCTAACCCCACATTTTATTTTCACGTACTTATAAATAAAAGTAAACAATTTTATATGTAGGACTAAGCAAGTAAATGTTATAAGAATATTTATATGTGGAATTATATATAAAAAAGTATTTTCGTAGATTTCAGTACCTAAAACCTTGATGGTTTGATCGTTTTTTGCACCTGTTTATTCGTCTTTAAAAATACTTTGATAAGCTTTAGATTATTCATTTATTAAATGTTTGAAATTATTTGTCTTTGCGGAAAACACTATTTAAAGAATATGGGGCCCTTATTTAATGAAAATATGTATGTAAATAGAGTATCAAAAAGCATTATATTATAAGTACCTAACTGAAACTGTACAGTAAGTTTAATTTTGATATACAGAGTATAAAAATAAGCAAACCATTTTAGATAAACCATACTTCATTAATAAACTGTTTCCAAAATTTTGTGGAACTTTTCTTATTGAAAAAAATTAAAGTATCTGCAACAGTGCATTTCTAGATCAAGGTTTATATTTTTTGCTTATTTTTGTCTAAGCAAGTTTCTTTAAAGTATTTACATTTCCTCAAGAGGACACCTTGAATGTTTTGAAACTAGTTATACTTAATTTGATCTATGTACCACTACAACTTGAAAAAATAAATAAATAAACATTACCAAAATTTTATTTATTAGAACGTCATTTTTTTACATAATTTAAATAAATTAATTCATTTCTGGCTAAGAACATTAAATCATTTGCATCCATAAAAAACTCGATCTTGATCTATTTTCAATGATGATACGATTTCCAAAATATCTAGTCTAGATCTTCACACATTTCCTATCAACATTAAAACATGTTGTCGTTTTGTCGCAAATTACTAAAATTAGCTATGTAGGTATTTCTAAATACACATGTTTATAACCTATAAATATTATTTACCATTTAATATAAAACTGTAACAGGATACTTAAAGGCAAAAATTATTGCTGGATTAATTTAATAATCACCAGTTAATGTTCAAAATATTTTGGTATTAAGACGGAGTTATTTGTCCATATTAATATTTATTTGTTATACATAATAATTCTTAAAGTATGAGGAAACATAAAAAGTTGATGTTTCAGAAATATCTAGCTGACTACTGTTATGTCATCATGTTGCTCTTTTTTCATTTATTCAAAAATGATTGCTTCCACGACCTGTGCTAATATTAAAGAACGATGTTTTTTTCGGTTATTATGCCATGGTCTTTGTACCAGTCACAAAATTATTTTTCACTTCCTTAGCCTTTATCAGGAATCTTTGACCTGCCCTTGTTGTTCTCGGGCTAGGTACTATAGGGGAGAGCCCGCTATGAGAATCTCTAGGTGCGCCCTGATGTTCATGTCAAGCATCCAAACGTTTCGCCGTTCTTCACCTTCAGTGTTGTTGAAACATTAAAACCGATTGTTGAAGGGAACATAAGTGAGAACCATATTTTTAGTAACCATATCCACAGAAAAGAAGTTCTTTATTGCCTATTTCTGATCTTTATAATAGTTACTGGCTTTTTTGCATTTCTTAAGTAAGCTCCAACCACCTGAAGACTTAGTTTTCCATATACAGTGTGTTCGGTAGGTATAATCCATTATGATTGGGATGTTAGTCAACAGAGTAGTTGTTTTCTACAACATTAGTTAAAAATCTTTGAAGATGTTTGAGGCAGAGAACTTGGTCACTATATCTGTAAAATTATGCATTGCAGAATATAAATTAATATGAACATTTTTTCTTAAAAGCGACATAAAGAATTACCTCTTGAAATATTTCTACACATTTAAATATACTTCAAAAGATTTTTCTTCAAATTTTCTTAAAAAAGGTAAATTTGTGTCATTTATTACAGTTTTTTTGTATTTGTAGACAATTTGGATCACTGGGAAGGGTAAATATTAAGACTTTAAACACAAAATTCATCAAAACCATTTATTGTCATAAATTAAGCAGGGTCCATTAATTACACAACCACATAAGGTGCAGCGTACGGAGAATATGCGGTGTATCCTGCTGCGTAAACTGAAGGTGCGTAGTAGCCGGCATATGGGAGTGAGTAGGCAGAAGTATAGGCTACAGGAGCTGCAGCTACGACAGGTGCTGTATATGCAGCGGCTATCACACTTGGTTTGGGTTCAGGCTTCGCTTCAGGTTTTGGCTCAGGAGAAGCTAAGGCGACAGCCAAGATAGCAGCGAAAATGAACTGAAAACAAAAACAACAGTTATAAGTTTGACAAAAAATACAGTCTCCATGTTTTTGTTACTAAAATCCGTAGATAAGTTAACACACAATAAAGAAATTATTCCACGAATAACTTTCACGTGATACTCAACAACAAAGTTAAGAAATTCAACTACACCACTTTTCCTAAGTCGATTCTGTATTTCAGCTAACTCAATATACGTTAGAAATTGCTTCAAATTCACTTACAAGCTTGAACATTTTGAAGTAACTTTGTGTCTGGTACAGGGATGTTGTTTGATAAGTTGAGTTGCAATTCACCTCTTTTTATACACAAATATATTTCCAATACCAATAGTGGCGTAGACTTCTAGTGGGGTTAAGATGAAGACACGTAAAGACGGTGGAAATTTTAAAATGCAAGACGTAGCAGTACTTATCACGCCTATTACAATGACCTGGAGGTTCGTTGTGAAATAATATTTACGTGTGGATGAGGTTGGTAAAATGCAATGTCATAATTAAATTTTGGTAACGATTATTACTGAAACACTAAATCATGAAAAATATAGCTACCTAAAATGATTGGAATCGCTCATGAAGATTTTAATTAAAAAAAATTGATTTGATTGAATAATTATTTGATTTTTTGTCCAGTGTAAAATGTGAGACTCCCCACAATATTTTTTTAATGTTCAACTGTTAATTACAGAACAAATAATAATAAAAGGGAAATCGGATATTAGTTTTGTTTCTCTCTTCCTTAAAAAGGAAGGTTATTAAAAAGTAGGATAATTATTAATTTACTGGGAGAACTGGTCACAATTAAATAATTTGTTGTAAAACAAATTTGTTTATAAATTTTTTTTATTATGATCGTTTCGGCATTTTTCCCGTCAGAAAAAAAACAATAATAACCATGGATTATAATATTTTTCCTTACGTAAAAATTAAAATAATTGTCATCAAGTATTGATTAACGTATTTTCCTATTAACCATATTATGTAAAACAATAAAATAACTAAATTTTCTTATTTTCTTTTATATTGTTAAGACAATATATAAAAATTAATAGCGTCAGAAAATGAATTGAAATGTGAATTGAATTCTGACGCTATTAATTTCAGTATATTGTATTAACAATATAATAGAAAATAAGAAAATGTAGTTATTTTATCGTTTTACATAATATAGTAAATAGGAAAAGATGTTAAACAACACTTGATGACCAGTTATTTTAATTTTTACATAAGGAAAAATATTATAGTCCATGGTTATTATTATTTTTATCTGAAGACGAGGAAAAATCCCGAAACGATCGTAATAAAAATTTTTTATAAAAAAAATAGTTTTACAACAAATTATTTAATTGTGACCTCTTCTCCCAATAATTTAATAATTATTCAAGAAATTATATGGTCAGGAAAAAAAACTTTATATAAAAAGTACAATTATTTATATGCGGATTAATTAAAACTGTTTAATGTTTTAGGTATTATTATAGTGTTGAGACTTTATTAACAAAAATAATAAGCAAAACACAAAAATAAAAACACAATTCGTATTGAACTAATGATATTTATTTAATATATGATATTTTATGTGGTTAACAGATATTATGTTTTTAATTTAATATTAATTTAATTTATATAACTCTTGGCATTATTTCATGAATAATCAGTTATTATTTTTCCCTATAAACTTCTATTCTGAAATTTAGCGGTTGAAGCAATTGCGATTTCAACTCAATCTGGACGTTTTTGGAACCAATGCCACCGTTCAAAATCCTGGGATAGCCACCATGACTACTTGAATCTTGGTTTAGTACCTAAAAAAAATATTTCCCTCATCATCAGATATACAAAATCAAACTTTACAACAAATTCAATTTTTTTTTTCTAAAAAGTTGCGACAAATGAAATCGAGACACAAAGATTCCTATCTGTTGATTTGCGGGAAACAACTACTTTATCAACTATTATATACACCATCAGGCACCAATAATATATAATAAATAGCTAGTAATAAATAAATTATTCCTTATAAGAATTAATAGAATATAAAAAAAAGATGAAAGAAATATGTCAAAATACCTTAATACAATTGATAGCTGTCGATAGTTCTCCAGTTTCTGGCACATTTATTGTCTTTTCTATAGGTAAAATCGCCGCATCTTCGTATACATTTGACAACAATACGGATTCGCTTCTGTAATAATAAATAATACCAAAAAATGAAATTAGTACCTATAATTACAGGTTGTCGTAAGTTCATGTGAATCACATGAAAGAACCAAATGCCAAAAAAAGAATTGTGATTTGGTACGAACAGATTGTCGTATAAAGATACAAAGAAAATGCAAAGAGGTTGAAGTAATAAGAAAAACGTACTTACTTTTTATTATCGAAGTTATCACACTGATCTATGTTATGAGTGTCACTTATTCTCGGTCCTACGTTTGCTGACCAGGAACCTACAAGAAGGGAGAGCAAAACAATTGCAATTTTATACGCCATGTTAATCAAGATGGGTATCTAGAGTAATAGTACAAGACTACCTAAACTATCATGAAGCAGCTCGAGTATATATAACAGAAGAATCAGAAAAAATGTTTATCTTTATGAATTTTTTCTTTAAAACCTTGATACGTAGTTAATAGTTATTACAATTGGAAAATCCCTAATAGATTGATGGTTATCGCAAATCTACAAATGTGACACCTAGATGTTCTAATTTGATATAGAAACTAAAAATCTTATAAGTGCTCATTAATATCACGAGTATTTGAACATGAAATTCGTACTGATTTGTTTCTAAACTAATAACTCCTGTCCAAAGTTTTACTCTATAATTTCCATCAGAAGCAGCTTGTACTTTTTTTTCTGTTTAACTGGGTACCTACTTAAAATAAATTAAATAAATTCTTCTGAGCTACTTTACTCTCCTCTCTCTTACTTCTATATAAAAGGGCACTAAAGAACTTTTATGGAAATATTTTTGCTTAAAAAGACATTGTACTAGAAATGTAGTTGTTTTTTAAACTAAAAAAATCGAGTGTAAGTTAAATGCACTATTTTGTTAGACTCAAATAATATTTGCAACTTTTTTTATAGCAGGAAGCATAAATTAGGCTTTGGGAAGCATGTCAACTGTCATGACATTTACGACTCTGCCACCTCACAGCTCACAATACCATAAGTTTGTCGTATACTAAGAATGGAATATAGAAAGAGAGAGTAAGAAGCCAAGAGACTTAGGGCATTTGGAAGTGTACTCTGTTTATGGCTGTGTTATGTTACTTTCAATTCATTTTGTATTTTTTGTTTTAAATTAATTTTTCATTTTGTATTTTTTGTGTTAAATTTATTTTAAGTTTTCAGTGTTTTATTTTGAATTGTGTTGAAAGATTAAAATTTGTAAAAAGGTTACGTACATGTCATGGGTAATTATTATTAAAATCTCATTAATGACAAATTAGATGAAAACATATTTTTATGTATCTAAATTTCCAAAAGATAAAATTCTCCCGTTAACGGAGCTATAATCGTAAGGTCAGAAATTAAGTGAAAAGTCAATAACATGACTTCCTTCTTGAATTTCACAACTTATACCTTCATGCAGTTGACAGTATTAAAGCTTTTCCAGCTTTTAAGACTTAGATTTTTAGTCATTTTCAAGTAAACAGACAATTTTTACAATACAGGACATTTTTATTCACTTAATAACAAATTTACATTGCACTATACCACGACATAAGACGATAGATACGGCGAGTAGGCTGTATAAGCCGCGCTATAAACGGATGGAGCTACATAGCTCGCATAAGGAGCACCATAAGCTGCTGTATAAGAGACAGCTGGAGCAGCGACTACGGGAGCTGTGTAAGCAGCTGCAACCAGTCCAGGTTTGGCAGCTGGTTTTGGAACAGGTCCAGGTTCGGCGCTGACAAAAGTCACAGCTAGGATAGCAGCAAGAACAAACTGAAAAAAAAAATAGTTACTAATTTTTTTGTAGATGTTAACAAAATTTTTCCTTGTACAGCATTCGTTATGGTCATTAAAGCGAAATATTCAGTTGAAGTGAATTGATATAAGTTCACTAAACTGTACACTAAAGAACTTACAATTTTAAACATTTTGTTGTTGGTGGTCGACACAGCAAGACAGTATGATTTAAACATCTGTTCTTCCGCATTTATACAAGATTCCTACAAATCTATTTTTAGAGGGGGTGTAAAATTGGAATATTCATTACAAGCATTAATTAATATTCATTTGTAATAGTACCTACATATAACATACGTACGTTGTGAAACAGACATTGATAGACAGCACGCGTGTTCTGCATAATATTATCACAGGCAACTCTTTATATGGAAAGAAATTTAAAATGGTTTGCAGAGATATGGGGAATTCATCTTCTGCACGTGTTACACTTGATTCTGGTGAAAAATAGTTATATAATGTAAGTTTACAGTCTAATTGCTCCATACTCCTACATTGATCCATGGTCGTGGAAAAATTCATTATTCTACTTTTTTTTAGAAATGTAGCTTATCCTCTTATGTCATGTTTTTAATATTGGAAATACATTATTTCATATAGGCACATCAGAAATTTAGCTAATGATCTTGGAAAGAAAGTGTGACCAGGAAATCTAGCCCAAAAATGACCATTTCATGCAGAATTCTTCGGTCAGTCTGATTTTTTGTGAGCAGATAATAAAAATAGTACAGAATAATATGTATGTTTCTCTGTAGAACCGTCAGAAACAAGGTTACACTCGAAAAAAACGCGAATTTCTACTAAGACGGCATGTTTGATCAACTTTTAAACAATGTCGCCTGATTTTTCAGCGTGCGGATACGGTACTTATTATTCTACACTATTTTTACTATCTGCTCACAAAAAATCAGCCTGACCGAAGAATTATGCATGCATATTTCCTGGTCTGTGTTCTAGTATGAAACATGATTGTATTTTTCGAAAAATTGCCTACTGTGTATTAGAAATTTTATTTAAAATATTAACCTAGTTCAATAAAATTCATTTTTTTTTTCTAAAAACTGTTATGAAATAAAATCAGTAATGTTCTTCGATATCAGAAATCTAGGTCTGCAAAAAATAATAATGAATACTGTTCCATCAATGGATGGTGTGCGTTATCAAAATAAAACAAAGAAAAGTGTTTATTTGGCTTAAATTATATTTTTCTAAATAATTATAATATTATTTCATTAGAAATTGTACAAGTAAAATATTTATTATTCTGTGACGGGATCTTCATCTTCGTTGGCCCAAATTTCAATTCTGAATTTCAAGGGTTGATTCCACTGTGAAGTCAGACGAATCTGGACATCATAAGCACCAATGCCACCGGAAACAATTTCTGCGTATCCACCGTGATCACTTGTGTCTGTATTGGTGACCTAAAGTAAAAGAGATGGTCATGCATTTATAAAAAATTAAAAAATTCACCGTTATGTACTTCACTTCTAAAATTCTATAAACGTTTTTAAAGAATAATACCCTTACTGGCCCTTTGCAATAGGTTTTAAGAGTAAGAAAATGATTAAAAGGCTAACCAAATTAAATTGTCTCACTTTTAACCCAGATAAAAAAACAGAAAATTCTTCTATTCTATATATACGACACCTGCAAATTTCAACACAAAACACACTTAATTTTGATAAAAAATTACTATTTAAATCATATTCTTATGAAATTCAACATATTCCTCTAAAGATGAATAACGTCACCATTCTTTAGGCGTGATTTTGTTTTCTTCTTGTTGAATGTGTATTTCATTCAAGCATAGAAATGAGCGTTCTGAACTTTTATCTCTCGCTATTTTTATCAGTTTAATAATGGTTTGCTGTACAAATACTTAATTTTAAAAAACTTTCTTACTCTCGAATTTCTAGTAGATACCTACTACAATATTTTTGACAAAAGGAATAAAATATTTATATATTTCAGTTTTGCTGACAAGAAAATGTTAATTACCTTAAGACAAGTTATTGGATGAGTGTTTAGTCCACTTTCTGGGTAAGTCACAATCCTAGTCACTGTTTGCAATAATTTTGCTTCTTCGTAAATGTTTGTCTGCAAAAGATTCAGCTTCCTGAAAACAATTAGAAAAAAGTTATTAAAACGTTAAAATGTTTCTTTTATAATATATTACAAATCCGTTTAATTTCTGTTAATTTATGACGACCCTGTATGTCATAATATTATAACCCCAACAAATTTTTTTATCTATGAACATTTTTTAGTGCACGTGCTTTGCTTAAAATTGTTTTTCCAACACAACTTGAGTGTGCAATTTATCGCTTCGAAACAATCTGTTTTAAATTGTTATAAAAATTTAATCTGTTTATTTAAACATATAAATATCTGATATCTGATAATTTTGAACTAGATGTTGTCACAAAACTATAAAATATGTTCATTATTGTAAGGCAACAAAAAAAAATCAAATTAATTACCAAATATCAGTAATCATAAAGAAAAATATTATGATGTATAAGAATAAGAACAATTCGAAAAAAAATTATAAATAAAATAAAACATATTTAAAAAAACATCGTTCCTAATTTTGGGAATCAAAGCATACTTTTTATAACTGCCAGTTAACTGAATTGTGTGGTTTAATAATTTATTTTTATTTGTCTATTTTTTGGTCAGACAAACTTAGCATCATAAAATAACTGGGAATTTGGGGGCAATTTTTAATTTTAATATTTTTTCAAAATGCCTAATTGACCGGATAGAAAAATTAATCAATTTACCTAATAATTTTGTTTCTTTAAAAAGTTATGATTTAAAAACAAATGTTTAATTTTTGTATGATGGTTATACAGTTTCAGTGGCAAGAGACTTACGCTGTGGTAGGGTCACACTGATTAATATCGTGGCTATCGCCAAGTCTTGTGTCGACGTCGACAGGCGATCCTACACAAGATGCCACTAGGACAGCAATACACACTACTACGAACTTAAAGTTGGACATGTCTGCAAACGATACAGGAACACTGAACTTCAAGAGTTAGACCTATTTTTTTTTATAACAAATCGTGATTTTTTTATCATAAGGTGGCCCTCTAATCGCAGAGCGATCTGATCGATAATTCTATCGGCAAAAAAACAAACTTATCAAGGATGTAAGCATAAAAGGAAGAAGATCTTTAATAATGGAATTATCGTGTTTCAAGAATCAGCATAATTCAAGAAGAATCATATTACCAGTGAAAGACAAAGGCTGGCTGTTTGGTCTAAAACTAGTGCCACTATCATTTTTTAGACAATATAATATTTTAATACCTTTAAAGTAAGGTTAAAAGGGAAGTAATGAACAATTTTACCTTCACGTTATTTTAATGTTTAACAGAATATTGACATTAATTAAAAAGTTATGAGAGCCTATAAAACACACCTACAACCTTGCGTTAAAAAAATATAATCTACCAAAAATAAGTGACAGAAGTGTGTTACATTTCGTTTGCATTTACAATTCAAATCTATAAAACTCGCACGCATACAGGGTCCGCCACTTAAACGTTCCCAAACCTGTATCTTCTATAATTTTTAAGATATAACAGTCGAGGTATCAGTTCGAAGGTCTTTTCAAGACCTCGTGAAACAACCGTTTAATTTGTAAAAACATGTTTCAAGGAAATTTCGTATTAAGGATCGTTAAAATTTATAAACAAAGTGATTGTAACAGCGAATGTTGAAATTTTCTTTTTCTTTAAGTATAAACATTTTTAATGCCATCTGATAGACCAGGAAAAGAGTTTTAATATATATCGATAACTTTTGTAGTAACAAAACTATACAATGTTGATCATTTTGTATAAAAATACAAATATCTTTGTTGGTTGATAAAAAAAATTAAAACTGCGTAGCTATTTGCAAAACTATAGGAAAATACAAATAAAAAAACTATTTTTGTTCCTTTTCTTTAAAACAGAGATTTTTGCTGCAACATTTTGTCTTTCAAAACCATCGTTGAGTTATTTTTAATACAAATCTATTATGTTTTCACTACATTCTTTGACATAGGGAGTATTGTAGATAAGTATATGTTTCTATAGGGGATATTTTGTGATCACTTGAATCCCGTCAGGGTTGGTTACATTCTTAGCAACAAGGTATATAACTCGAAGCCAACTTTTGTGATTTATTTCTTTCATTCTTTGTTTTCGCTTTTAAACTAAATATGAATAACTTATCTTTAGTTTAGAATCAGAAAAATAGAAACCATGTTCTTCGAATTCATTTCTGAATTAAAACAATTATTTTCCAGATAAAATACTCCAGTTCTAAAGTAAATATTTATCAATTTACTGCAGCAAAACATTGAGATCATCATTACTGATATAATTAGTCATTACTGAAGTCTAGAATTGTTTGATTATGACGTTTAATAAGAAATTTGTTTCAAATAAATAAGATATATTTTCACTAAACCGGAGTAAAGAAGTTGACAAGAGTTTTGAAGACAAAATAACATTTCAAATGTGGTTAATTGTTACAGTGTTACAAAATTTAAATAAATGACCCTATCTAATAACCACCTGATAGACCAACGTGTTTAATGAAATTGAAGTGATGAACTGCACTGAATCAAGCTTCAACTTCTATTTCCTTAAACTGAAGACCTATACGTGGGCTTCACATGTTAATTGCAAGTTGCTATATCCTGGTACAAGAGCTTGTCTTGTCACATATTTTGAAACATCTTAAAAATAGATTACTGTATCATCAAGAATAGCTCAAGGCCATCGGTGTATTCATTTAAATTACAACTAAGGAACACTGACAATTTAATTCCTCAAATTGTAAATTATTCCCAGAATAAGCTGTGAGAAATATAGCTGTCACAATTTTCGTGTGTTGTATAAAGACGTAATTATTCAAAATCAGGTTTTGTTATTCGGAACTACTACCCACCACTGACCATTAGGAGAAAATCTTACAAAATGATCTATATAAAAAATGCAATGATCATTAAGCCAAGGTCAGTATAATCTGAGGTATGACAAAAATGATAAATTTAGCATCTTCCCAACATTAATTATATTATTTAAGAAATATTTGTGCGCTTAAATATAACCGAAACTGAATTTGTCTTCGAATACCAGTTAGAAAGAATTATATAAAAAATCGATTTATAAAAAATAAAATAACGACAAACTGACGCATGCCTCACAATCACCATTAAACTTGGTACTAAAAATAGGTATGTTTATGCACCTTGTTATAATATTTATAAATGTAGTACGTACGTTTATAAGAAAAAAAACTCATTAATTGTATGGGCCCATTTAAATGTATTTTATTACTTAAAGTCAAAATACAAGCTCTTGTTAAACGATGACAGTTTATAACTATCTTATGCTTCGGCCCAAATTTCAACTCTGAAATTCAGTGGTTGACCCCACTGTGAAGTTAGACGAATCTGGACGTCATAGGACCCAACCCCACCGGAGATGACCTCAGGGTGTCCACCATGATCGCCGGTATCCATATTCATGACCTAAATCAAGAAGGTATGCGTAAGAAAAGTAAAAAAGTGTAAATGAGTTTGATTAATATCTCTAAAATGTTGGCGCGTATTTTGTGAAGTGAAAATGAAAACTGTACACGAGTGATTAGAAAAGGTTTCATAAGTTTGTAATAACTGACAGGCATTTAAACAAGTTGTTTCAGTAAATAATTTAAGATTATCTGTGTAAAACTATTAGTAAGAGTGTCAGAGAGATCATTTATACTATGCTAAATAAATAGTGGGCCCAAAATTGACCCATGGGGTACCTCGGAATATGCAGGATATTCCCTTTCTTTATGACCACTATAATGAACTTATTATATTCCACTAGAATTTCAACAATAGAGAATTTTGAATAGATTATTTAGGTTTCCTCCAGTTTTGCATGCTTTTAAGTTAAATTTGTTTCTGTTGAAAACCTATTTCAGTACATACTGTATCAAAGTTTGTTACCTTGAGGCAGGATATTCTATGGGTATTTAAACCACTTTCGGGATAGTTCAGGGTCCTGGTAACAGGTAACAAAAACTTAGCTGGTTCGTAAATGTTTGTTTGAAGAAGTTTCACTTTCCTAAAAACAGATAAAATGTTTTAAAATTAAATTGTCGCCAAGACGCTTTGGATAAAGTCACATTTTATATTAGTATTCCATTTAGTTTGATGCGTGAAAAAAAACTTTGGAGTCATTTTTGAGAAAATCTATGTAAATAAAAATGAAATTATTGAAACATAATAATAATGATGAAGTAATCAAGGAGGAAGCAAACTTAAAGTAAAAAAATAAACTTACGCCGCAGCAGCGTTGCACTGGTCTATATTGCGGTCATCAGAAATTCTTGCGCCGATGTCGACAGATGCACCTACACAAGAGGCAATCAGGATAGCAGCAACTGCTGAAAATAACTTGAAATTAGCCATGTCTGCAAACTATACAGAAACAATGCACCACATCAGTTGGGCCTATTTTTTATACCAAATTTTGCATTTTTTATCAAGATATGACTCGCAATCGCATGATGATCTACACGACAATTGTTAATTGTCGGCGAAGAACAAAGTTATCCGGGACGACAAAGGAATTTTAGGAAATTTTTTTAATATCTAATGCGATAATCGTGTTTGAGGTGTGACATACACAGGTTTATTTGCAGAAGTTCTTATAAAATTGGGCAAACAATTTGTCACAAAAATGTATTTTCTCTGTACGAGGAAAGTGATGACAACAAGTAAAGCAAAAAACATGATTTACATAGGTATAAAAATTGTCACATATCTATGACATGTAAATCAAGAAGTAAAGGAAATATTGGGTTCACACTTTTTATTTTTATACAATTTTTTTTGTACGATATGGACAAGCAAAGTGTGTTAGAATTTATGATTATATAAAATAATTTTGAAACAAAAACGTTTTATCAGGTTTATGTACAAGAAGTTCTAATAGCTGGTCCACCCCCACAGAGCCTGGACCGAGAACAACAAGGGTAGCTAAGGCTAAGGAAGTGAAATGTAATTCTGTAACTGACAACAACATAACAACCCAAAAATTTGTCTATTAATGCCATAGAAAAGAATGAAGTAATTTTTTGGCCACGTGTTGAGAACAGACACCTTCGATTAGTGTTATTATGTGATTTGTATCATTTAATAATCTGCCACTGAACGAACACATCTTTGATATACCGAAATCATAAATTTGTCTAAAATTAAGTCTGAACTCGAAATTCTTGTATGCCAAAAGAATCCGGTTCATAGACATTTGCATGATGGTGTCATAAATATTTTTGAATTAAAGTAGATTTCTAAAATAAGCAAATAAAGGGAACTGGAATTAGTTCGAGAAGCTGTTTCTTGAATGTTTTTAATTAATAGATCTTTGAGTCACTGTTTTAACTTTTATTTTTCATAAATGATAATGTATTCATTCAGGTCATCCCAAAATTGTTAAGCTTAATAGACTTCCAATGTAGTGAAAATTTGAATAAATGCAATTTTAATATCTGTTTTGAGGAACCTATTTCAAAATTAAAGATGTAAAATATGATCTATAAAAAATAGTTCCACAAGGAGGTTGTATTAAAAACAGACTACTAAATAACGGATCAGATTTATTATATGATTACCAGAAGGACTTATGCGTATATTTTATCTCGATCATAATTTAGAAGATTTCTTTTATAGGGAGCATAACTTTGATCCTAATTAATTGTGAATTTATTACATCATTTTACATATCATTTAGAAGTGAATTCAACATTGCAAGTTTGGTCGTAAAAAAAGTGTTTACCTACGTGGATTCAATGCATAGGATACAACTTCAGGTAATGATACCAGTGACTGTTGGCGAAAATTAAAGTGATCTTATTTTGGTAATTAAGTGTGGGACAATGTCCTTTCTTAGGGGATGATTTCTAGGCGTTCATTGAGAACTGTCAGCATGGAAATTTTTCTAAAAATAAAAAATTAAAATAAGGGTGTCCCCAGATATCAAAAATATTTGCATATTTGTTTTTCGTGATTAGCTAATAGATAGATACAGTTCTATTAAAAATAAAAAACATCTAAGTAACTGTATGTTTCAGTGGGATGTGAAAAAAATTGTTGTGCAAATTTATGTGCAAACCATTTCCAAATTTGAGTGTCCACCAACTCCTATTTTAGTTTTTCCCAAATTTTATTTGATAGATTATCAAATGAAAAATTAATTCTTATCGTTAGGGTTTTATAGGATGTTTATAAAAACAAGTGCCAAAAATAAGAAAATATTCCTCACAATTTGGCACCATTCTATGAAAATACAGGATATCTACTTTTTTATTCTCTGTTTCAGTAATTTTCAGGTAAATTTAAATAACAAATTATTTTCTTACGAAAGTCATCTTAGATTTACTAAGAAAAAACGATGGTATTAACACAAACTGTATAACATGTAACAACATTGTAATTATCTTCACAGAAATAAATTCCAATTCGAATTAAAAATTTATTTTAAATGCTCCTTACGCCAAATGTTGATAGAACTATTAATTAAGGGATATATATGAGAAACTATACTCCTGGAAACACCCTGTATACAAAATTTTTAAACTCCAGTAAAAAATTTCTTATGATGTTCGTGAAATACTGTCGAAAATCTAGACAACTCCTACAAAAACAACATTCGGTAAAGGATTATAAAAAATCTGAATCAGACGTTTAACAGCTTGTTTAAAAAATAAATAATAATAGCAATTGCGCATTTTACGCATTTTATTTTTCAAATTTTCCATGATGTACCAGTTTCCAAATATGTAGAATTCACTACCTTGCCTCAAATATGTCGTTCACGCAAACTACATATTATTTAAAAAGAGCAAATCTACATTTGCGTCCTGTTAAAACGCTTAAAAATTCAGCCCACTTGATCAAGGCCTGACCTTAAAGAATCCAAACCCTCAAAGCAAGTATAAATACAAGTTGAGTTTGTACACAGACCATCAGTTCAACGTCTGCAAACTGAAACCAACAATCAGCAACATGTTCAAACTTGTAAGTAGTTCCGAGTGCATTTGTATTAACAACTAGAGCTATTAACAACAAATCTCATTGTGGGAGAAAATCGGTGGAAATTGTTAACATTAGTTGTTAAGAATATTTCAAATGTGAAGTAAATTAAAATGTACGTTCTTATATAGGGTGTTTTGGAAAATGTGCGAACGATTCAGGGCTAATAGAATATTAAAAATTAGTAACACTTTTTCCTAAGCACCACGGACATAGTGATGGAGGGCTACAAAAATATATTTTTTTTATTACATACATATATGCTTTTAAAGGTGCTAAATAAGTCAGTATAATTTACTAGAGGTCTCTAATTACTTGACTTTTACAGTGACATTTTATGACATACCTTTTTTGAGGTTAGATTTCTGGCAGTATGTATCGTCTCTGACACAATATAGCTCACAAACAAAAGACGATAGAGTCACGATTTACTCGAAAAAGTAGTATTATTTTTTTTGTATTCTATCAGCACTGAATTTATGGTACTGTGTACTAAGACACGTAATCTAGTTACTTTTACGTATTTTTAATTTACTTTTTTTTTATTCCAGTGCGCTTTCTTCGCTATCCTGGCCGTCGCCTTGGCTTTACCAGCTCCCGAACCCAAGCCTAAAGCTAGCTTAGGGGCAATAGCTTACACCGCCCCAGCAGTGGTCGCCCCCGCCGTCAGCGTCGCCGCCCCCTTGACCTACTCCAGCTACGTTGCCCCATCCGTCTACTCTTACGGCCACTACCCCTACGGATACTCTCCCTACGTCGTGGTGTAAACTCCGCTTTAGTATTAACAAAATAAAAAATGCATAAATAAAACGTACAACTGTGTTTTCTTAAAAGGCCCACGTCTATTTTAAAAACTTTGAGCTATTTCAGACGAATTCAAAAATGTTTTACTAAAAATCTCGGCAAATGCAAAATGCAAAAAATGTCTAACTCCACAGTTCTTTCCTACTGTTGGTTTCTTATTTATTCTGGTTATTCTCATAAACCTGATATTTCTATCAATATGTGAGAACTGACTTAAGGTATCTGATTCATATTTGGTATATGCTACAAGGGCATGAGCAGCAATAAAAGTCAGGTAGTGTAGTTAATTTTTTTTGACAATATTTCTCCCCGTCTATAGATATTTTGAGGAATTCAGCTCTTGATTTTACGCAGAAAAACATCTCTTCAATTTCTCTTAAAATTGTTAGATATTGAATAAAAAGAGGAGATTAAATTTGCTACTTCAAAAAAATTGAAAGATGTTAGCAGCTATGTTATTTTGTAGCTTTAAGGAGATGGATTTAAAATATGTAATTAGGGAAATATATTTTACGTTCCTCCTGCTTTTGAATTAATTCATGTATAGTAAAAAGTAGTATGTATAGTAAAAAGTATGTATTACAACATATTCATCTCCTTAAAAGGAAATCTTTTCTTTTTATTCGAAAACTAACCATTTTAAGATAAACTGGCTTTAGGCATCTTCCGATCATTTTCCTTCAAAAATCTCAATCATCAAAGGATTTAATTTTAGAGGAAGGATCAAAGATTTTCTTCAAATTTACTTACATTGAATTATTTTTACCTCAGAAATCTTTCGCTACTGTACTGTCACTGTTTTTTTTTGCGATACCCTGTACTACACTGCAATATGTAGAAGTAACAAATCGGTGTTAAGTATTCTAGACATCCTGTATCCTGTCTTGCTAGGTCTTTATGTTGAATTATATTGGTGCTACCTGTCCTCATTGAATCTTGTTTAAGTTCAATGTGAGAAATATCTATGAAAAATTAAATTATACAGTTCTATATTTTAATTGTACTGTTCAGCTTCAATTCTTCATAACAACAAATGATTAAATATGGATGCTTATGGGAATTTATTTGGATTTAGGTATCTAATTTTAATTAATTTGCGGACACTTTTAAAGTACTGACGAAAGCCATCAAAATTAGGTAAATATTAGCTAAATGCGTATAATCAAAGACAGAATTTACATTTCTGCGACAGTTTTTTTACGTTATTTGCAAAATGTCAAAGATTAAAAAGACTAATATATTCAGAAGAATATTTTAAGACACCAGCTTGTCGGTCATTTAGGTCTATCTTCTAATTTATTAAATGAATATATAGTAAAATATAATTATTGTAGATTAAATGTGACAAGATTAATTGTGTAGTTTTTAGTAGAAAACTTCTTTCAGATTAACATTCTTTAATCAAAGAACTATTTGATGATAGGCTTATTCAGAATTTAATTCTAAAAATAATGATGAAACTATAGGACCTATATTTTACGAATAATACTTTTTTCCAAAGTTAAATAAAAAAATTATAACTTTACTCCTAGAAAATAATTTTAATTGTTAAATGAAATTAAAATATATAACACATGAGAAAACGAAACAAAGTATTGGATCTTTCTTGAATGATAGCAAACAATATCCGTTTGGCACCTGTCCTTTATCATTCTGTTAACATTTCTTAACGAACTAGTTGTTAATTTATGTATGGTCTGCCACTAATTCGCCTAATAAGTACAACATTAATATGAAAATTGCCACGCATGCGGTCGTTTAACTTATTTTTTTTTAATTTATGATATTATAAAATATTATTCAACATAATAAATTATTTCGTGTCTATCGCGTAAAAATCTTGAAAAATCCGGCCCACTTCTTCAAAATTTGACCTTAAAAATTCCGAACCCTATCCGTATAAATACAAGACGAAATTTCGGAATCGTCAATCAGTTCGTCCACTATCAACTGAAATCAGCTCAACATGTTCAAGCTTGTAAGTACATTTTGTAATACACTTTTTATATACATTGGTGGTAATTCATTACATTATTTTTACTGTTATTTTTGACGAATTTTCAAAAACATTGACAAAAGGTATACTTTTTTAAAGATTCAGAATTTTTTGTATTCTTAACTATAAACGGTACATTTCTAGAAAAAAAAAAGCACAAAAATTTTGATGGAAAATGCGGAAAACATTTTATTTATTGAAAAATAACTTTTTCTAACAACTGAAACCCTTTTGATCACTGTTAAAGTCAATACCTTCAATGGTTCTTCAATAATTGATGAAAAATTGGGTTCACTTCCAATCTTAGAAGGATCGTAGAGTCCTTAGGAGTCATTTTGAGAGAAAATTACACGTTTCCTAATTTATTTTGAAAACATAAATCAGCAGTCGGCATCATTATTCACTACAAAAAATATTTAGTCTAGTCTAATCGACTATATTATGTACTTCTGAAAAATATTTTTTTTATTTTCAGTGCGTTTTCTTCGCCATCTTGGCCATAGCTTTTGCCGCCCCCAACCCAAAACCAGGTCTTGCCTATTCCGCGCCCTTCGTAGCCGCCGCCCCTGCCTACAGCTATGCCGCTCCAGTAGTTAGCGCACCCGTAGTAAGCTATGCCGCACCAGCATACTCTGGATACGTTGCCCCATCCGTATACGGTGGATACTCCCCCTATGTTTGGTAAAATTAAGGAAAATATTTTAATAAAGTAGTTGCAAAACTTCTGTTTTTTAATCTTCTGCTCCTGTGGAATGTTTTCATTTTTCATATAATCAGTTCCATAGAACAGAATAAATTGGTCTTTCAAACAACTTCTCTTATAACATAGGCACACGAAATAAAAAAAGTGGGTTGACCTAGATACCCCACTGTCCAAATCTATCATTACTTTTATTGCAAGTCAAACAGTATTTCAGTAAATCCTTAGAAATTGCTGAAAATCCCGAAAAAAATTGTGGAAAAGGCGACAAAGGAGTATCAACAATGCTTGGAAAAAATTTGTTTGGAGATAAAGACTTAATCTAATGAATTTGAACACTTTACTGATAGCAGGTTTAGATCTTGTTATACCAAACTTTATTAGTGGAAAAACCAGAAAAGATGTGTTGAAATACACAAAACCAATTGTATGGTTGATACCACAATCAGGAATCGACTACTACCTAATGTTTCTTCAGTGATACGAGCAAACAAAACTAGAAGTAATTAATATTGAATGGAAATGGATTAAAGAATTGAATGATCTGATTAGAAAAATAAAGTTTCCAAAGATGTTGCTGAATTTTTGACTGCGGAACTAAAAAGTTGAAGATTTTTGTTTTTGTTTTGTTCAAAATGCTTATATAGAAGAAACTAGAAAACTTAATCAGTATCAGAATCATGTTCTGTGCTTTAAAATACATTGGAATAAAAAGTTTCTCCACTCAGTCCAATTTAGTGTAGACAAAAATTCCGATGTTCTTTCATTAAAATCACTTTATGTTTTAGATCATATTTAAAAAAATGTAGGTAGTTTTTATTTAATGAACACATTAATTTTGAATTTTAAAATTCCATACTGACACATCAAGGATCAAACACGACACTTAAATATTCCTATTTGATATAATATATTTAAATATTATAAATAAGCTTATAAAACTACGTAACTACATTTATTACATTAATTTAGCGATTAATTAAACCACGATATGGTGATGGTAGTCAATGTCATGGAAGCCATCGATATATTCCTCTGCCACTACCTCAGGAACGACGTAGTTATCGTACACCAAAGGCAACGAATCGTAGGAAATAACCACGGGTTCTGAGTAGTGGATATGGCTGCTGAAGAACGTTGGGTTTGGGGCAGGTTTGGCAGCTGGTGCGGAACGGACAAGCGAAATGCCCAAAAGGACGTTGACAATGACCTGCAAAAATATCAGTAAATTGTAAATTGTAAATTGTAAATTGTAAATTCTAAATTGTAAATTGTAAATTGTAAATTGTAAATTGTAAAGTGTAAAGTGTAAATTGTAAATTGTAAATTGTAAATTGTAAATTGTAATTGTAAATTGTAAATTGTTAAATTGTTAAATTGTAAATTGTAAATTCGTTTTGGATAAAATTTGTAGTAAGAGATGACAATTCTCAAAATTCAGTGTGTTTTTGCTTTCAATTACTGTAACTACTATAAAGCAATATTATTTCAAAATAGAGAGTAGCGAGTTAGTATATAAAAACTTGCATTGTAAACGTAAAAACAAAAAAAAGATACAAATATCCTCGTTATGAAATAATGGAAACACATTTTGACTAAAGATCTGAGCATTTTATAAATATTTATATACAAAATAATATTTTTCCGTAGATTTTCAACAACGCAATTACATTTTATTGGAAGAAAGCACCGTAAATCTAAAAATAATACCAAATTTATAAAAGGGAAGTGGCGTGCTCTATTTTTCCTTTAAAATGTCTAGTTACGATGCCTCAGCGCCACCTTTGTAATTTAATTACTTCAAATTAAGTCTCCTATAAACGTTCCAAGTTTGATAAAAATCGGCCAAATAGTTTTTGAAAATTTAACACTTTCTATCTAGAAAAGGAAGTTTATATAAACTTTTTCTTTTATCATACGTCTATTAAATTTTCCCCATTAAAACCTGAATATTTTCACTAACAAATAATTAGCACTAGAACATTTCACATATTCATACTATGAAATAAATAACAGCAATCTTTGGGGATCATAGTAAAACCTCAAACTGTTTGTACCACTCACTTGCTTGAACATTTTGATGTCGGTTGCTCTGTGACAGCTACTGACGATAATTCACATTTTTCATGTTTATATATTAAAGAATATAGGCACCTCTAGATCATCACGTATAATATGGCATTGTTAGCGCGTATACAAATAAGAATATTTGGTATTCATAAGGCGGTCCGACAAATAATTTCATTGATTAACACTTCTAGGTATAACAAAGGTTACCTATCTATTAATGATTAATAATTGTTTATGGATTAATGAAACACTCCATTTCTAAGGCTTGGAAGGATTATGTTGCGTTAAAGAGCCGTGGAAAAACCATGAGGAACACCTTTTGAATTGTTACTTGAGCAATTAAATGTATACAAAGTCATTTAGTATTCAGTCAATGATTTAATAGATAATATAACTTAGTTACAGTTACAATTATATTTTTTTAGGTTACAAAGTAGTTCGTGCTTCTTTTTTTTTTGAAAAAATTTCAGTACGGTCAGTTTTCTCAGTCACAAAATAATTGCTATTTCTAATAATAAATTTTATTAGATTAACGTTAAAAGTTAATATTTTAATAGAGGACTACTCATTATTTAAATTTAATCTAATCGTTATTCAGTCAAGCTTATTTTTTAAATAATTAGTCATATAAATCAATTACAAGTTGCGTATCAAACACTAATTAATTAGGGACTGGTAAATATTTTAAAAATAATTGGGATGAAGCTTATTCTATATATAAATAAATATTATATGTATTGTATACATTTATTTATCGTAAAAAAGCTTTATTCATCTGTGTTTTGCTATTTTTACCTCATTTTTTGTAACATTTATGCCAATGATAATTTTATTCGATCTATAAAACAGCTAAAAGATTAGAAAACATAGAGCTGTACGTATCATAAAATTTGTTTATCCCCATACAGAACGAGAAATATAATTTGAATATTAGGTTTTTTAGTACGGTAATCATGAATGACATCATTGGACAACTATTAGGCTGTATATCAAACTTTGTAGCTTTTTAAGAAAAATAAAAAATTAATTTATGTGAAATTTATTAAGATAATCTAATTTCATTATAGCCAAGGTCAATTCAGCTTTTCTCTAATTATCCGCTTTACCATATTATACGTATTGTTTGCACAAACTATTTACCCTGCTTTGTGTGCTACGTGGAATTATTATAATGAATGGGCGATGATAAAATAAAGAAAATATAAGCACAGTAACAATAACTGAGATATAATCTCAATGGAAATTCTAAGACTTTCTCTGCTATTTCTCTAGTCGTTATCAGTTTCAAGGCTATACTAATAATACTTCGAAGGCGATAACAAACGATAAACTGACGTCCTTTAATATATTATCTCTTATAATAATGTCTCATTTGGAAACAATGGCAAATGTAAAAGTACGAGTATTATAAATCAAAATAACGAAATATATTAACCACTTGTATGAGTGATACAAAATCATTTTAGGAAAATCAACTTTTACGTATGTAGGTATGTCTAAAAACCAATTTTAGTCATATGAAGAGAGGGAAATAAATTATAGTGACATATGTTTATTTATGTAGAATTTTAAAAATCGCAAGGATCTATGGGTTAAAAATTATGCAGTCCATCTGTTAATCAAGCAAATAATGCATAAGCAATAAAGTGAAGATAAAAAATACCTGATAAAAATCAATAAATATCGTAAAGGCAGATACATTGAAATAAAAAATGGCATTTTCTAAAAATAAATCTTTATTTCCTTAAACAACGTGTAATTGATGTGTAATCAGGGTAACAAATTACAAAACTTAATTTTAATTTTACCTATTTCCAAAAGCATTTAGAAAAAAACTGACATAACTTAAGGGATTATCAATAATCAATATAATTATTTTTTGAAATACCTTATTTTATCTCTAATTTACATCAATATGAAGCCATGCCCATAAGGAACATATTCAACAAACTGCGAATCATAGGAAGAGCGAACCGCGTAATTTAGATATTTTACTCGCTCTACTTCAACTGAATCTGGTGCAGAAGGAGCTTGTGGAGGAGCAGCATCATCAATTTCGGACTGTGGTTGAATCTCAGAGACAGGAGAGGCCGCTATTACTGCCACAATCACCACGAACATGATCTGTAAAATAATATAATTAATTTTATAACACTGTTTCCGGAAAAATTGGTAAATAAAAAAATATGTACACATTAATAATCTGTTTAATGAAAATGACTTACGATTTTAAACATTTTGAAGTGCAGACAAGACCACGAGCCAACAAGAAATAAATTTGTTCTCTGAGAAAACCACGTCTTAAAATTATCTAAGCGTAATTAAATATGTAACTAAGGATTCAGGGTTTAATTTTTTGGCTGTTTAAACTTAAAATTATGAACACAAAAGTGTAATATAATGTAATAATCAGCATGTACTTTATGATGTTTTAGTTCATGTATAATTGTCAACAACTTATGTACATACAGTTAAAAAATGTGTTTCAGAGAAAGTGTAAATCTTTTTAATATCAATATTTGTATACTGACTAAAATTGGCATCAATGATGTAGGTTGTTAAATTCTGTCAATGAAATATTCCTTTCAAACAAGATGCTCAGATGCCGAGGAATCTTTGATAGAATTATTTGCACATAATTATCAATCACCCTCTGTATATCCAGTTAAATATTCAAAGCACGGAACAAGTATTCGCATTATGTTGTCCAATAGTAAAATTTATATTCCGACATGGTACAATTTATCACCTTGTACATGCATTTTAGTCTAAGCTACATTTTGACAATGACCGACAAACAAAGGTTAATAAAACCCACCTAACAAAGCTCCATTTATTAATTGATTATAAATAGTTACAAGTTATAACGATCTTCAGTTAAATTGTGTGGTTTTGAAGCACTTCAAGTGACTGATCAAAAATGATGAAATTTGTAAGTACAGTTTTTCTTCATTCGTTTCAATATGTTTACTAAAGTGATTAAAGTTTAGTGATGAATTTCTACATCATAATGTTATGAATAAGTTCTTATCTTTGGAAATAATTTGTTTTCGATACATAGAAAGTTGAAAATTAATGAAAAGATGTAACTTGATGTAATATGACTCGTGGTACGTGGTATTGCAAGAAACTAATTTTGTAAAGCCTTTGGTGACGCAAAATTTGAGATACTTTGGAAGAAAAAAAGTTGCGGGTAAAAATGATTAAATTCACCCCCGAAACTACGCCACTGTATGTAAAAAAAGTCCACGAAGTGTACGAACGTTTATGGACAATTAAAAACTTAAGCTGCCTACTAAATTATATTACATCATCCTGCAATTAAGAAAAAAAATACAAAAAGTTAAATTTTTTGTTAATAAATTAATTAATTAAATTAACAATTTAATAATTAATTATTATAAGTTAAATATCAACTTCAGTTTTTACAATATTCTAATTTATTCTTTAAATATACATATTAATATAATAACAGTATACGAACAACTTGAATTGGGCAATTGTTTTCAATTTCTAACAGAACCCATTTGTTCCTTTTTAAACATATATTTTTTTTTACAGTTCGTTCTTGCTGCCTCCTTGGCTCTCGCCTGTGCATCTCCAGTTCCCGCTCCAGAAGCCAAACCCGGACCAAAACCAGCTCCAAAACCCCAATTTATCGCATACACATCACCCCTTGTCGCCGCCCCTGGCGTAGCTTACTCCGCGGCATACGCCGCCCCTGTGGCTTATGCTGATTACGTATATACTCCAGAATACGTCTATCCAGCTGACTACGTGGCATATTCACCTTACACCGCTGTCGTGGTTTAGAAAAGTGTCGAACGAATCGAAGGATCAGTTAATTTATTATTTTTAATGTAATCGTATTAATAATTGTTTTATTACATTAATAAATTTATTTATTCTTTAACTGATTTTTTAAACAAATAAAAAAATTATATTAACACATTTTGATTTAAAAAAAGGACTAGGGGACACCCGGGTTTGAACCGGGGACCTCTCGATCTGCAGTCGAATGCTCTACCACTGAGCTATATCCCCATGTCCGTTTTGAGATATAAATTGACATTTGCATTAATAATATTTTTTGTATATAATGATTTATTTTTAACTCCAATAATTAATTTTGACGCTTTACATGAGAATTGCTAAAAACATACTTAAGCTCAAGCACTCGAGTAAATGAATTTATAAAACAGGTAAATGCTCTTTTCGAATTAGGTAGATTTAATTGCAGTCGGCATGATACTAACAACTTAAACATTTTATCTAAAGCAGCACTTAGTGTCTCAAGTGCCTCCTATTATAATAGGAGACACTTGTTCTATGGAACAATTTTGTTTATTTCGTTTCTTCGTCTATCTTTCTCAATAATTATTTATCATTACACATTTATACGCTTAGTTTATCAAACACGATCACTAAATGTGAATAACTATGATAAAAAATATATGTTCATTGTTCATATGCGACAAGACAATTTGTACCTACCTATGCATTTTTTAGATTATCGAAAAAATATTTTCATACCTTTTATTATTAAAAAGCTGTCTTTTACTTAAATAATCGAAGCAAAACCATATAGGTACTCTAAGAAAAACAACAAAAACATGCGATTTTTCATGAAAAAATATGTATCCAGTGGCTTAAATTATTATAGCCATATACTATTTAGCCACATAACAGAATTAAGTGACGGCGTTATTTTTCGAGTGGACCTGAAAAACTTTATCACAATTAATTTTCAGCTAATAAACTATTGTGTGCTCAATCTATAATTTTGAAAACGACATTGAAGCGTGCCTTTGGTTCCTGTTGATATTCATCCTTTTATTGCGTAACAATTTGCAAATAATCGGGATACAGGCCGGTGTTTTTCGAACGAATCCATTGAAACGCCAGTTGCGGGTAACATGATGTAATAATGGCGAAGTTTGAATAATTGGCAAACAACTGACAATTCGCTGATTGACATAAATGACTATTATCTGAAATTCGTCCTTAACGGCTTATTGGGCGCTTATGAAAATGTTACGAAATCACTATAGTTATATTTTGACTACAAGTATAGGAACAAGTACAAATGATGAAATATTTTTTTATTTACCCTTCCATATTTGTACGTATAACGATAATTATAGATTCAGTAGAATGATTTTCCGAAAATAACTGATTGAACCACCCTTCAAAGTCTATTTCGTCGCCCTTGATTATGATGCAATTGCTTCAGACAATGTATCATAATGATAAATTCAAATTAGCTTTTGTTATGCCAATCCTCGCTATCTATTTCGCATTTGTAATGACATGCACCAGATGTGTCCAAAATACGACCCCACCTAAGTTTTTTAGCCAAAGTGGCCTGCTATATAAGACAGCACGGGCAGTATCAAAGTTAAGTTTGTGTCAAAGTTGCATAAGCCAATATCAAAATGTTCAAACTGGTAAGTCCCGGAAACTATTATTTATGTGTTAATTTCAATTTTTGGAAAGGAAATGCTATCAGTTGAATAATAAATTCAAGCAGTTATTTTTTGAAAATCATCATTGTTATTACCTTGTTTTTTAAAAATAATATAATCTATACCATTGTTTAAGTGATAGTTAATAGATAATATTATTTACAATATTCTTGAGACTATAAAAAACAACGTTGCGATAATTATCTTAATGTTTTTTTTTTTCAGTTGTTCGTCGCCCTTTGCGCCATTTTGGCTGTAGCTATTGCCGCCCCCGCCCCTCAACCCCTTCTAACCTCACTTGTCAGCCCATACTCCGCAGTCGTTGCGCCATCTGTCTACAGTAGCTACGTCCCAGCTGTTTCCATTATTTAAAATGACTGATTATTATTAGCTCGGCTTGGACTATGAAATAAATCTATTGCTCATCAACTTCCTGGCTTTTATTGCACTGTATTTATTCCATTATCAAATTATAGAACAACCCACCAAAACGCTAAATCAGACCCAGCAAAAAAGTGGATATAAAGGCACTTTCTAGATTTCATTTAAAAAGTTTGAGATCTGTTATGACCATATAAATATTAAGCTCGATGCGATTTGCCCAGAATGTCGTATTAGAAACAATTCGAACATACGAATTTTCAATATAGTGAAAATTGGAGAGATTTCGTTAGAACCAAATCAAGTGTGCTTTAGATTTACACTTAAGCGACGGGTCGGTATTATTGGGCGTTGTTGGCACTACCAATTTACCAACATGACTGATACAAAAACAAAAAGAATATCGAAATATAAATGTTGTGAAATTATACTGTTTTAACATGTATTTGTCTAGACTTATATCTACATAAAATTTAATCTGTTCGATCAAGTACCCATTAGAGAAAATTGATATTTCACCAAACATTAAATTGAAATAATTGAAAACTTTGTATTTCGTAGAAATATCTCTGTTTTATCGGATCCTATTGAATAATTCAATTCTGGTTTTCATAATATTACCTCTAATTACATTCTGCCCAGATGTTTACGATCTGAATATTGAATATCCAATATCCTGGGAATAATGAGCTAAATGGCCCAATGGGGATTACATTGGCATTTTCATAATACACCTCAGTTACCCAATATCCTCCTAATTACTGATTAATAGTACAGTGTTCCTTTTACAAGATTTTGTAAGTGCATTTTTCAGGAAACTATAACTAAATGCAGTATAATGGTTTTATATGAACATAAAGATCATGACCCTAAAGTGTACGTAAATTTACTTTGGATTTGACTGAGTGTCAAGGAGTTTTCAAAATATAACGGAAAACTTTATAAGTATACAAATATATTTATTAAAACAATTTCAATACAGTGAGTTAATATAAAACATGAATTCGATAAGAAAGTATATGCCTAGAAAAAAGAAAACTAGTTTGAGTTATATGTTACTGTAAATTTTAAAATAAATGCAAGTATCTTTTTATTAAAGAAGTCCTTATGATAGGTAAAAAAAAAGTTATAGTAATTTTTATAATGCTTCTTATAATACAGCTGGAAAATTGGGCACCCCCAAAAAATTGATACACAATTTTAAATCCATATCTCGACGCCTGTAAAAGTTAGTAGTAAAAACGAATTATATTGTTTAAAACAACTACTATGTGCACTAATTTGAATTGCACCCACAGTATCTGGCAAACAGCTAAACATAATTCGTCAGTAGAACCACCAGACGTATACCGATTTCAAATTTGATGCAGTTATTTAACGACACAAAGTGAACTATTTACTTTAGTTTCAAGTCCCTGACATAGATAGTATAATCAAACAAGTAAAACATTTGAGTTCTTAATTTACAGACTTTAAGACTTTCTTCCGCCTAGTGGGAAACTGGTCTTGTTTAATAGTTTCTGCAGTTTAGCAGGTCGCCATCTGTCAGTTTGACTTAATTGTAGTGTTTTAAAGTCAACAATCCATTGCTTATGGGTTACAGAGTTCAAATATCACATTAAATAATGAAAATAATTTTTATTCAACCCAAATAAATCTACATGTTAATTAATAAGCGATTTTAAAGTTTTGATAAACCAAAAAGAATAGAGACTTATGAAGTAGATCAGACGTATACAGGCACAGAAGGTACGTATGCACTGTAGACAGAGGGCGCAACCACAGCAGCGGAGTATGGGTACGAGTAGACGAGTGGTTTGGGTGCTGGGGCTGGGGCTGGTGCTGGTGCTGGGTCAGCTGCTGGGCCAGGGTGAGGGACGGCAGAAGCCAAAGCCATAACGGCGGCGAGAACGACAAAGCACTGTAAAAAAGTAAATATCTATATTCGAGCATGTATTTGGCTTCTTTAGTAAAAAACAATTTAAAAAATATATATTTTAATTTCCAATGTAGGTATACAATTTAGTTATTATTATTATGAAAAGGTTAGATACTTACGAGCTTGAACATATTGAATTCGATTTGATATCAAATGACACAGATCCAAGCGACCCTAAAGACTTATATACAAAACCAATTTGTCAAGGCGATCAAAAAAAGTTCAAGGTGGGATTATTGTTATACTAAAATATTCTATTGTGATATCACAAGCAGATATTGCTAATGCACAAGCATAATGTAAAGCAAGGTTTGGAACAGATTTGGCGGAAACCGGTTTGGCTCTAATTAGGACGCATTGAGAATATTTTATTTTTTTTTTGTTGATCCTGGAATAAAACAAAGAGTGAGAGACTTATACATAATGTATACAATGCGTCACTTTAGACGCTGGTAAGATTTGTTCTATTTCTCAAAAAAAATTAGAAGTAAAGTGATGGTTTAAGCTGGATACCATTCCAATATAGCGGAAGCTAGCCTTTTGTTTTACTTTTAAAACATTCAATTTCATGTAAATATCCAATACATTTTTGGTTCATGAGAATGCAAGATGGATCTATAAAAGTGACAATGTAGAAAATAATGAAATTTGGTCTTCTCTCGTATTTTACGCCAATGGCAAAAATATTGTAGAGACTCATTGTCTCCTGGATTCCAAATAGCAGACGTTAACGTTTATTTATATTTCCATACATATTAATGAAGAAAATAACCTTGCACTTGATTCTTAATGATTTCCTGATCGCCAAAACAGGCCTCTGTGAACGTCCTTGAGGATCTTTCCACCACGCCCTGTTGTGACTTAAATGCTGAATAGACACCATAAAAAAATCAGGTTTCTCTTTCGTTGAAACGTTTGTATACCAGATCACTCCAAAAATGAAACGATAGTCATAGAATTATAAATATTACAAAGAAAATTATAGAAGTTCCTGTTACCGACTACATTAAATTATAGTTGTAGCAAACTTACGTGATTTACTGCCAAGCCATAAAGTTATAGTCAATTATATAACTAATTTTTAGCAGTACGTCAGTAAAAGACATAAAAATTGATAAATTTTGAAATTAATATCCAAAAATTAAGTTTCTAACCTTCGATATATCTATTTATATTCAAGAACAAACTGGTAAAACTGGCCTGCAGTTTGAGATAGAAAATACATGACAGTTTAAAAATAAACTTAACCGCACCTACGGGCTAATACTTCTTTTCTTGATAATAATTAGGTGCAAATATGCAGGTTGTCAGTCGTTTTAATAAAAAATAACCTTTGTTTAAAACTTCAAGATTGCTGGGTACGTTTTCTTTTTGTTCATTTACCTATTTGAACATTAAGAATTAGCATATTATACAGTACGCGCCCAAAGTATGAAATAAATTCAGTAAAAACGAAACAAATTTTTTTTGGGAAAAATCCTCGAACAGGTCGATTTTTAATTTAAAAAATACATATTTTAGCATAAAAGGCGATTTTCAACCGTCATTTGTTTTCGAGTAATGAGGTTACCGACATTTTTTTTAAATAGCAACCCTCTATTTTTTTCTTGATTCTCAAAGATTGAAAGATCGTTTCATTGTTTCTGCACAAGTTGAATTTTGTAGGGATGATATTTTTCCTGCCTCAGGATACGTAGCACTATGGTCTGACTAATTTCATTGTTTAATGCAACCAATCGTGAAGTATTATGAGGAATATCTACCATACTTATCAAAATGTTCTGATTGTGATCTTCACTAACGCTTGGATGTCCACGTTTTGGAATATCTACAACATTGCCAGTTTCTCTAAATTTAGATTCTATCTTACTGACTGTTGATTGGCTGATACGGCGATCTGGATGTTTTTCATTAAATAAATCGCAAACTTCCTGCTGCGTTCTAGTCTTATCCCCGCATCCGATAAGAATTAAAATTTCAGTTCTTGGTGTGACAGTTAAATGTGCCATAATAATTCACCAATAATTTTTATATCGCTTACAATACTTAGAAAGTCGGTATGACAGTGACACTTTGTAAAGATTTACAACTACGTGAGCCATAAAAACTTCAGGCATTTTGAAAAACTAAATTTGATATAACGTTTTTGCTTTATTTTAATTGATTTGGGTTTTCTAATATTCAATCGTCATTTACTCGAAAACATTCCTATGTAAGATGGCAACATTTTAATACTGTCGGATCGACAATGAAACGTTCTTTCAGAATCAAGAAAAAAAATAGGGGGTTGCTATTTAAGAAAAATGTCGATGACGTCATTACTCGAAAACAAATGACGGTTGAAAATCACCTTTTATGCTAAAATATGTACTTTTTAAATTAAAAATCGACTTGTTCGAGGATTTTTCCTAAAAAAAAATTGTTTCGTTTTTACTGAATTTATTCCATGCTTTAGATGCGTACTGTATATAGAAAATGTTACACATAGTAACTTTTACAAACTTGAATGGATAAGAAATTGAAAAAAATATTTTTATTGCGTAACCTCTCCTGGAAATTATATTATACATTATTGTTAATTATAATTGTACTCTAGTGCACTATATTGAACAATGCAATTAATAAGATTAATTTAAGTTTGTTGGGACTGATTTTCTCTGTTAGGATTTTGTGTTTTCCGTTGTTAAAAATCACTACTACCACTACTTATTATTGTTTTGGGTATGAATTATCCCATAATTTTAAACATGTTTGCAATTGTTTACGTTTACAACTGCGACAGATTTTCTAACCCACGCAGTTAATTAAATATCTTTTTTTATACACAACCGTGACGGAATTGTGAGGAGACCGAGGTATTACAAGAGGAGCACAAATAAAAACACACGGGATACTAGGGCACCTATAAAAACACCACCACCGCCCTATGAACACCAAGTCATTAATTTGCTTGCCTTTTGCCCTAATTAAATCTTTCCTACAGCAGTTTTGCATGTCTGCACCTACGCGATCGTTAATGAACAAAAAAACGCAGGGGATCGGATTTTAGGAATGCATGTTCTCTATAATTAAGTAAGGAAAGATAATACTATGATGATATTAGCGAAGAGTTATTTTTAGGTATAGCTATATCGAAGGGGCAGCATTTTTTGCATATTTATCAAGAATATGAACAAAAAATTTAATTTAATAGTATACATTATTATTATTTGCAACTGGAAAACTTCCAAGTAAACAGAGACAAAACTGAAACTATGTCACAAATAAATAGATACATATCAAAAAATTAAAATAATATGTATTTGAAGTGGTAAAATAATTTAACACTGTATAGAGGTAAACCCAAGCGAAGGTATATTAGGTATAAGTATTGTGTCTTTAATATCCTGGGATATATTCTTGATAAAGTTATCGAGAAATAAATTTCAGCACGACATATCAAAGGAAAACAAGTAACTACTAAGTGCTACCCTTGAAATAACCGAGTTTGTAGAGGAAAAAGAATTAACAAATAGCACTGGCGCATTCGCCATTTTTTAAATTATTATAATCAAAATATTTAATTATATTTTGAGACAAATGAATAAAATATAGGAAATCGATTTATTTTGTTAGTAAACTAAGACGAACAGTTGTAAATATTTGCACCAGTTAGTTTATTAAAGCTTAAATTTTTTTTTACACACTACAGGCACCCACATCATAACCTCAATATTATTTAACTATAAATAATTTTTTCACTGTTGTACTAGTTAATAAAAATGCTTTTTTAAGTAATAAATGACAAACGTATTTGTAATATTTACTCAGAGCTGTGTAGAAACATAAAAAAATGCTAATGTTATAAAAAGTCACTAATACCGACTTAAGAAATTAAAAAAATTACCTACTTCATTGAAAACACCCAGAAATTTACTAAATTTAAGTAATTATGTCCATATGTTACCTAACTGTAATGCAAATTATACAGAGTATTTATAAATTTGATTTTGGAATGACATAACTATTGCCATCTACCTGGTAGTAATACAACCTGCTGGGCATCCTGTTTCTGCTGAAACAAAACCGACAGGAAACGCTATCTGCTTTATATTTAGAATATAATACCTATTTCATGGTATCCTGATAATATTTATATACAATCGCCAACATAATAATTTGTATAAATCATAAAATTTATATTTATATGCGAATAAATAATTTTCGTACTAATTAATAAATATTACTGGTTTTTATTCCATAATCTAAATGTAAAATTTTCAATTAGGGACTGTTTAAAATATATTATACCCTTTCTGTTTTCCTAATAATATATTTATATAAATTCAGCACATCATATTTAGTTAATGTTATAAACAATTTAGTTAAATAATTCAAATCAGCCACNTGGTTTTTATTCCATAATCTAAATGTAAAATTTTCAATTAGGGACTGTTTAAAATATATTATACCCTTTCTGTTTTCCTAATAATATATTTATATAAATTCAGCACATCATATTTAGTTAATGTTATAAACAATTTAGTTAAATAATTCAAATCAGCCACAAGAATATTTCGTTGCTTGTGATCTATAGCCTTAGGCCTCTTTCAGACGACACGGATTTTAGCCGGACCGGTTTTCTTGGTTTTGCCGTATTGTCCAGTAGTACATTAATCCTAATAGACTCTTTCAGACGATACGACACGGAAAGAAATCGTAGACGGCGTCCGTATGCCGGCCGGATGGTCGACTGGGATTTCACGGCACCGTGCCGTGTAGAAAGAGACAGAACGTCCAGTGAACCATTGTGACAAACGTAGCTTTTCAGACGATTAGATCACTTTTGTACGGTGGCGTGTTAGGACGTATTTAAAAATTTTGTGCATTATAATTATTATTTAGTTTGAAAGTAAAATTGCTAGCAGCAATGTCGGGTGAATTTGAAATAGACACTGAACTTTTAATATCTTTAGTTGAAGAACAGCCCGTATTATGGGACAAAACAATAGAGGAATATAAAAATAAAAACTTAACTGCCGCTGCTTGGAGGGCAATTTGCACTATGCTCGTGGAAAAATATGAAAATGCTGACGAAAAGGAGCAGGCAGAAATATTTAAGTAATGTATGTAATGTATGTATGTATGTATGTAATGTATGTAAGTAATGGGTGTACCCAGTACCTTCTTTTCTTCATATTTCTTAAACGTCTATGACGCAAGTATAACAACATCAGAATACGTTGTCGCCGGTCCATAACTTGCACTAAACTAAGTACATTCCTGTTGCCAGCCGTGCCGCATTGACCTCACGTGATGTGTGAAAAGGCGCCAAATCGTAAACGGCAAGAGCAATAAAACCGGTCCGGCTAAAATCCGTGTCGTCTGAAAGAGGCCTTATTCATACCCTGATACTACTTGTCCATACTTAGTACTATAATTAATTGGTGTAAATTATATTTATAATAACCACAAACGTAGATAAAGTATGCCTATTCATAATAATGGTGACTTTTTTCTATTATCGTTAAAACAAAGNAAAAAAAATAGGGTGTTGCTATTTAAAAAAAAATGTCGATGACGTCATTACTCGAAAACAAATGACGGTTGAAAATCACCTTTTATGCTAAAATATGTACTTTTTAAATTAAAAATCGACTTGTTCGAGGATTTTTCCTAAAAAAAAATTGTTTCGTTTTTACTGAATTTATTCCATGCTTTAGATGCGTACTGTATATAGAAAATGTTACACATAGTAACTTTTACAAACTTGAATGGATAAGAAATTGAAAAAAATATTTTTATTGCGTAACCTCTCCTGGAAATTATTTTATACATTATTGTTAATTATAATTGTATTCTAGTGCACTATATTGAACAATGCAATTAATAAGATTAATTTAAGTTTGTTGGGACTGATTTTCTCTGTTAGGATTTTGTGTTTTCCGTTGTTAAAAATCACTACTACCACTACTTATTATTGTTTTGGGTATGAATTATCCCATAATTTTAAACATGTTTGCAATTGTTTACGTTTACAACTGCGACAGATTTTCTAACCCACGCAGTTAATTAAATATCTTTTTTTATACACAACCGTGACGGAATTGTGCGGAGACCGAGGTATTACAAGAGGAGCACAAATAAAAACACACGGGATACTAGGGCACCTATAAAAACACCACCACCGCCCTATGAACACCAAGTCATTAATTTGCTTGCCTTTTGCCCTAATTAAATCTTTCCTACAGCAGTTTTGCATGTCTGCACCTACGCGATCGTTAATGAACAAAAAAACGCAGGGGATCGGATTTTAGGAATGCATGTTCTCTATAATTAAGTAAGGAAAGATAATACTATGATGATATTAGCGAAGAGTTATTTTTAGGTATAGCTATATCGAAGGGGCAGCATTTTTTGCATATTTATCAAGAATATGAACAAAAAATTTAATTTAATAGTATACATTATTATTATTTGCAACTGGAAAACTTCCAAGTAAACAGAGACAAAACTGAAACTATGTCACAAATAAATAGATACATATCAAAAAATTAAAATAATATGTATTTGAAGTGGTAAAATAATTTAACACTGTATAGAGGTAAACCCAAGCGAAGGTATATTAGGTATAAGTATTGTGTCTTTAATATCCTGGGATATATTCTTGATAAAGTTATCGAGAAATAAATTTCAGCACGACATATCAAAGGAAAACAAGTAACTACTAAGTGCTACCCTTGAAATAACCGAGTTTGTAGAGGAAAAAGAATTAACAAATAGCACTGGCGCATTCGCCATTTTTTAAATTATTATAATCAAAATATTTAATTATATTTTGAGACAAATGAATAAAATATAGGAAATCGATTTATTTTGTTAGTAAACTAAGACGAACAGTTGTAAATATTTGCACCAGTTAGTTTATTAAAGCTTAAATTTTTTTTTACACACTACAGGCACCCACATCATAACCTCAATATTATTTAACTATAAATAATTTTTTCACTGTTGTACTAGTTAATAAAAATGCTTTTTTAAGTAATAAATGACAAACGTATTTGTAATATTTACTCAGAGCTGTGTAGAAACATAAAAAAATGCTAATGTTATAAAAAGTCACTAATACCGACTTAAGAAATTAAAAAAATTACCTACTTCATTGAAAACACCCAGAAATTTACTAAATTTAAGTAATTATGTCCATATGTTACCTAACTGTAATGCAAATTATACAGAGTATTTATAAATTTGATTTTGGAATGACATAACTATTGCCATCTACCTGGTAGTAATACAACCTGCTGGGCATCCTGTTTCTGCTGAAACAAAACCGACAGGAAACGCTATCTGCTTTATATTTAGAATATAATACCTATTTCATGGTATCCTGATAATATTTATATACAATCGCCAACATAATAATTTGTATAAATCATAAAATTTATATTTATATGCGAATAAATAATGTTCCTACTAATTAATAAATATTACTCGTTTTTATTCCATAATCCAAATGTAAAATTGTCAATTAGGGACTGTTTAAAATATATTATACCCTTTCTGTTTTCCTAATAATATATTTATATAAATTCAGCACATCATATTTAGTTAATGTTATAAACAATTTAGTTAAATAATTCAAATCAGTCACAAGAATATTTCGTTGCTTGTCATCTATAGCCTTATTCATACCCTGATACTACTTGTCCATACTTAGTACTATAATTAATTGGTGTAAATTATATTTATAATAACCACAAACGTAGATAAAGTATGCCTATTCATAATAATGGTGACTTTTTTCTATTATCGTTAAAACAAAGTTTTGTTATTTTATTGCAAATAGAGAAAGTTAAATTTATTCCAATATAATTCTTCGATCCAAATATATACAGGATGTTTTATAAGAAATAATACATTTCTGCTGAGTGATCATTCATTATTTTAATATATTTTATTAGAGCTACTTTAGGCAAAATCGATGGAATATATTTGCAATCTATAAAGTTTAAGGTATGTCGTTTGAAGAGTATAACTGGTTGCCTAAAACCTTTTCTGTACGGTTTTAGATGGTAATAAAATGGAGGTAGAAGAATTTTATTAAAATAAATTTGTTGTAAAGTTTTAAGTATGAACAAATAAAAGATAATAATGATATCCAGAAAAATACATTTTAATTTTCACTAAAAAATTAAATTGCCTCGATAAAGATTTCAGTAGTTCCATTTCTTCAAAATTCTGTTACAAATAAGCACTTTATACTTATGGATATTAGACTTGAAAAATTGTTGCTTTCCTCGTCTTTCTTGGTAAAATTAACTCGAAATTATCAACTAATATATGATGAATAAGTCACATAAATTTAAATACCTATAATCAAGTTTGAGGAAAACAGGAATTACTTAATTTATTTTATGAGCCAAAATATAACGGCAAATTTTATATATCTTTTAGATGTTTTCAAGAGGATGATTATATGTTCCTTAATAATGAATAAATTAGGACACCTGATTAGCTACTAAATAATTTTTCCAATTTTATATTCCAGCCTTGAAACAGCCACATTTTGTGGGTATATATAAAAGATAGAGCAGTATTTTCATTTTTAATTATTGTGCTTATTCAAGAAACCACTGAGACTAAGCCTGAGCTGAAAAAATGTTGAAATTGGTAAGTTTTTTCACTTCATTTATAAGATATTGTCTGTTACTTTTTAAAATATACAATAATGAAAAGAAAAAATTTGACTATGTAGTTAAGGTGTATAATATAATTGTACTATTGTAAAAAGAGCAGCTATAACAAATATGGCTACCAAAACCAAATGACTACCTATTGATTGTTTGTCTGTTTCTATAAATACGAATATTTCGAAGCAGTGTTATTGATCCTTGTTCTTTTATTCCTTTTGGTTTCAATGAAATATATTTTCTGACCAGCTTCAAACGTGTCTTGTCTTCTATGAACTGTCAGAAATTACTGAATACGATACTGAAAATAGAGAAAGGCATAGTTTACATTTTATCAGTCCAATTATTAACCATAGAAACATCAGTTTTAATTATTTAACAATTAAAGTCAATATCTAAAATAAAGATAATTTTGTTCTTAGGTCTTCCTTGTTTGCTGCGCCTTTGCCTTGGCAGCCGCCGCTCCCAAACCAACTTACGGCTATGGATACGGCGGATACGGATATGCACCCAGGGTAGCAGTAGTGGCCCCAGCCCCGGTGGTGGCACCCGTTGCTGTCGCCGCCCCTGTCAACTACGTTGAGCCAGTTTATGATGCTCCCCATTATGGAGGTTATGGATACGGCTACGGCTACGGCTACGGCTACGGACATGGTCATTATTACTGAAGTGACTTGAATAGGCACCTCTTTTATTCGTAAAAAAATGTATATAGTTGGTTTTAAATAAATTTGAAAAAACATTTGTCGTTATTTATCTATTTTCTTACAGTTACGATAACTCGAAAGAACTTAGACTAAAATTCCAATAACATGAGGTAGTTTAATTGTATCAATATTATACAGAGAGTATCTAGAAATAAACTAAAATTTAGAAGTAAATATAAAGCCACAAAATATAAAGAGAAAATTATTATAAAATATAAAATATTCAAACTGGTAATCTGAAGATATAAAAAAAGTTTTTTTTAAAACGTAATTTACATTTTGTATTAGTTTTCAAAGCCTCAACTAAAGTAATTTCAAATGTATCTATGGAAGGTAGGTAAACAAGAAAAAACGTTTCGTCCTTTTGTTACAACTTCCTTATCTGTTGCGTTTCAAGACCAAACATTATAAATAGACTTAAAACTGATTTTAAAAAATTATAGAAGTGTGTTATTTAATTCAATCGACATTACTAACGAATTAAATTTCGTTATAATAGGTACTAATTCTTAATCTATAGTTAATAAATGATAAAATGATGTCTAATTCATTAAGCTTGTTGATATAATTCACAACATATCATTAAATATGAATATCCTATCTGTTATTTAATATCAACTACAGTCACATTATTGTGATATGAGATCAGTGGGAAAAAACAGTTCGATTAAAATATTTACATATGACCTGCCACGAGACATCTCATCAAAAATTTCGCCAAAACTATTCCAACCTTTTAATTCTAAACAAATTTATTTATGTATTTTTTTTAAGATTAACACGTTTTATTCCATTTTTTCCAATTTTTTTTTTGTTGACTATTTAAATATGTTATCTCAAATTTGCAATAAATATTTTTGTTTGCAAAATTGTATGCTTGTGAAAGAGGACAACCCTAAAATAAAAGTAAATGAATATAATCCTATTAGTTTAAAATGTTAGGAAGTTACTAAAGTACAAAAAATAAATAAAGCTCCTGTTAAATTCTAATTATTTTCCCACCAGAAACATTTTTAGTTTATCCTTGCCTGATTACTATTTTGTATTCCTTTAAAGTGACATAATTGGAACTATATTTTTGTTACTCCTTTCAATTATTCCAATCAAACGATATTCCAATAAAGAAATAGACGGTTTGCTCAATTCAGTTATTTTCAATTCATCACGTTCATCATATTGAAAAATAAATCTTTAACACTATATTTTTAAATAGCCGAGATGCTTACACAATGAGTCGGACTTTTGAATACAAATCAGTCTAGAATTCGGAATAAGTTAAAAATTGCATAAGTAAATTGTTTCAAAACAAAGTGGGATGAGTGGTGCCAGACTTGATATAAATACTTATAAGTACGAAGCTACTACAAGTACAGAGGTTTTCATTTTCAGTGATAATACAATCGAAGAATAAAACAATATGTACAAGTTTGTAAGTACAATTATTTTGTAATTGTTTTTAGAAAAGAAAAAAATATATGTCCTTACAATAGTTCTAGTTTATAAAAAAATAATAATATAAATATAATTTACTATTATTATTTAATATATACCTTATTGCTGTTGTTATTACTGGGTGGCAAAAAAAAATTAGAATGAAAAAAATCTCAAAACGTCTCAATATACAGTGTTCAAAAGTTTATGGGTCACACTTCAAGGATAGCTTCATTGGATGCAAATAAACTGATTTATTAGTACAATTAATGTTTCAATTATAGAGTTTAAATTTAATAGCTTATACTTTATCATTCGCTTTTGTTGCAGGTATTCCTATCAGTCATGGTAGCACTGGCGTCGGCCAAACCCAAAGCCAAACCAGGAATTCACGCACTAGCTCCTTTAGCTGTAGCACCAGTCCCTCCAGCCGTAATAACAGCGCAAAGCTCCCAAATCTTCGCCAGGAACTACAACGCACTTGTATCTCCAGTCGTGGCGGCCCCGCTTGTAGCTAAACCGGCTCCGATAGTGGCCAGTGCGCCACTACTAGCAGCGCCTGCTTTAGCTAAAGCTCCCCTGGTAGCTGCACCTGCAGTGGCTCAATTAACCAATGCAGCACCTGTTGTACCACACGCTTCTCTGCTAGCTGCTCCTTTGGCTGTCAAATCATCTCATGTGGTGGCAGCACCTGCTGTAGCTCGCGCTTCTCTACTAGCTGCACCAGTGGCTAAAGCAGCTCCTCTGGTTGCCAAATCAGCTGGTGTGGTGGCAGCACCTGCCGTAGCACACGCCCCTCTACTAGCTGCACCAATAGCGAATAAGGCAGCTGTACCATATGCGCCTGTAGCAGCTGCACCGTTGGTGGCTAAGGCAGCTCCTGCGGTAGCTCATTTTAATTCAGCTCATGTCGTTTCGTCGTACTTATCCGCACCGTATTTGGCAGCACCAGTTATTATTTAAGAATATAGATTTGCCAACGGCACGGAATAAGCTTAACAATCTCATATTGAGACAGCATCTATACTGATTCAGTCATTATTAAATCAAAGTACAAACAGTTCTATAAAAATATGGCATTGTGTTATTTTTAAATATAAATATCTTAGAAATAAATACTCTTTTTATTTCGTAACCCCCTTTATTTATTTAATTAGGTGGCCCAGTGGGATTAAAATGTTTTAATTTTTGAAGTATGAAATTCAACATGTTATTGGACATTTTCTTTAAAAAGAAATTAATGCAGTCCCTCCACAACATTGTAATCAAATTGAAAGCATTGGTAACATATAAGACCCAGATTTTCGATCTAGGTCAACCCCCCTATCACTTTTGAAACCCCTGCTCGCATGCTGAACCTAGAAAGTGGAACAGCCAACCGCAATCAACAAGTACCAAGTACGAAAAGGGGGTTCTCAGATCAATACCACACATCCAATTTGCATAAAATCCCAGGGTAAAAAGAAAGTGTGCGTGAGGCTTATTCTTTGACATTGCCTTCACACATATTTTTTTTGTCCGAATGAGGTAAGAGCAAGTTAAATGCGGGGACATTTGGTTCACGCAAAGCGTTATTTATTATCGTGTGTCCTTCAGTTGTCGACAATTCGGGGGTAGTGCGAAATGTAAATAAAATTATGAAAGAGTATGATTTTATTAAAATGTACAAAAATGAGAAGCGTGTTCTATGGGCCTTAGTTGCTATTGTTTTTGTGTAATATACCTATTAAAAGTATTAAGTTATTAATTGGGAGGAGGGGTATATGTTGCGTATATCTTTTGCCCTGCTACAAAAACATTAGTGGATATACAATCAATAGTCATTACTTCAAGGTTAATAAAGTCGGACATAAATTAAAACCCAAAATTTTTCTAATAAGTACTGACAATATTTTCATTTTTTGCCTGATGTACTTTGATTGATTGATTATGCAACATAATTGTTCCAAATTGTCACGAAATATGTAATCCTTCACAAAACAATTTTTAATTTTTTTTGTGTGTAAATATATCAAGATTGAACTATTAGCAGACATCTTTATACCAGTTTATTTATCTGTTCCATTCATAAACGTGCATAACAAAAAAATATATATCTTTATATTGGTCGTTTTAGGTATTTATATTTATAACAAGATTTATTAATACAGCATATTTGTATAAAATTATTTTATTCGAACCTGTTTGTATTTAAATCCGCTAGACAGGCACTTTTCTGGTATGCTAAAAACATAGTTCACCAGGTGTGACTATCATCGACAAGAGTGTTTTCGGTAGTGGAAATTCCAAATACATCCTTGAGAAACATTCCATACCGCATGATCCCCAATAAATAGGTTAATATAATTAAATTCGATGAACGACAAAGTCTTCTCAACAGGATCTATGTTTTATGTATTTAAAAATATACACATTTTATGCGATATGTAGATCTTGCCCAGAAATTGGTTATTCTATCAATAATTTCATGTATTCTAGGTGTATTTGTAAGCAACACTTTTATCTTTTGCTTATATAGAGACAGGATTTATAGTTTTAATATTTAATGGAATGTGTTTGACTGTTTATAATTAAATGGAATTAGAAAAGTGAAACGTCTTTGACCAATAGTTTTGTTAATTTTAGGCACTCTAGGCAACAGATTAGTCTTAGGTCTAGTAGATATATCGTGATCAAAAAAAATTATAACTAATGATATTGGTAGCCTTATTTTTATTCAGTTTGTTGTCAATAGTGGGAAAGTAGCCAAATTTCAAGAAAAACACCAAATTTTCTCAATTGTCAACGTTTCGTCACTTATCGTGACATCCTCAGGACAATTACAGATTTAAGTGCTTCACTAAGACTAAGAAAACACAGTGAAGCACTTAAATCTGTAATTGTCCTGAGGATGTCACGATAAGTGACGAAACATCGACAATTGAGAAATTTTGGTGCTTTTCTTTGAAATTTGGCCTCTAATTTCCCACTATTGACAACAAACTGAAAAAAAATTATATCGTCTGGATATTTATAAATATAAGTGGAAATACTTAGAAAGAACAGTTGTCGATGATCAAAGATTTAAATCTCTTCGTCGTAGAGTGAAGCAGTTGGGTAAGTATAATCTTTTTTAAATGCGATTTTTATTAACCATTTCTGAGTTATTTCCAATTTTTTTACATAGTTGTTCATTATCTCTCCCCATGATGTGGGGATATAACATGTGGTTCTACTAAGCAAAATATAAAATAGACGTCTAATATATCTCGGAAAAATTTAAATTTACTTAAAAGACATCGCAGTTTTTTAACAATGTATTCAATATGATGGTTCCATTTTAAATATGGATCAATAAATATACCTAGATATTTTATTTTATTTGTTATATTTATATTTACTATTTTTTCAGCTATATTGATATCAATTATAATTTGTTGTTTTCGATTTAATAAATAACTCGACATTTTCAACTGAAAAAAGTTTGGAACAAAAAGAAAGAATACAAATAAAAACAAATAAGTGAGTGTAGTTCTGTTATTTGTATGTCTACTGACCAGAAAAAAAGCACATAATTGAATTTAATATTTTTCATGGTATTTATTTAAGTTTAATTTACATATTTGTATAACAAACAAGTATAATGTTCATACTTGTTTATATAGAACAATATATATAAAACAATAAGTAAAAATAAATAAACAAATAACACTTTTCTTTTCTTTTCTTAACTGTTTCCTGTTTATAAAGTTTCCCTTAGTCCCTACTTCTTTATATGTCATACTTCTTATGAAGATGTTAGCAAAAGTCACTAAAATGGGACGTTTCAGCGACCCATCTGCATTATTAACATAAAAATCGCAATTAATACTTTCCTCCCCGGAATCCTAAACGGGCGGTGACGGATTAGTTTTCCTGGGAGCGGGGTTGTTCACCTACATGTTTGAAAAGCGGTTACCAGAGCGACCAAATTGATCAAATACAAGATAAGTTTTCCCGCATGGCCGGCGGTTTTCTTTTCACTGTGTCTGCGGCGGCGGCGGAAGGCTCGCCAATGAGGTAATTCCAGTGTAAAATTAGTTTATTAATTATTTTTTAAAGGGGTGGTTCGTCGAGGCAACAGGTAAGGGGATGTTTGTGTCACCGTTAGATTGCTTTCCCGTCACACACGACTGTGCACCGGTCCTTATAGTTTTTGTGTAGATGTCATCAATGGTATGCGACAGTATGCGAGTAGATTGCTATTATTAACAGTTTCACTCTCAAATGTAGAACCGTATTCGAAGGTCATTAACAGGTAGAGGTTTTGAATGGTAATTTAGCTTTAGCAAAGCGCAAAATAACAGAATATCCAAATTGGCTAAAACATAGCAGCAATATCACTTTTTCTCAAATTTCCAGGGCATATTTGTTAAAAAAAATCAAAATTACTTTTAAAGAAGCGTATCTAACACCTGTATGTTAGATGTAAAATAACGTCCCTTTATTGGTCTAACAAAAAAATGCTGATACAATTACTCAAAAACAGGCACGAAATATCGTACATGAGTTGCAATTTTAAGAAAGTTGTCGTTTCCAAAAAATGCGCAGTCTGAAGACCCATTTTATAAGAAATACTTTTTCTCAGTCTATTTAATATATTTGGCGTTCAATTGTTTTTTATCTACCGCGTTAATGGCCTGTGCATCTACAAATTGCGAATTAATTGACTGTTTGCTTTTAATTTTCTAGAGTATGTGCTAATAATTTTTTTTAGCAATAAAAAAATTATTATTATTTGTTACCAGCATACGTTTGCACTGGTTAGATAGAGCAAAATGCAGGCCATTTCAAAATACCACTTTCATTATGTAATAGGTAAAGACTGCAATCTAAAATACTTTACATTTCTATTTGTTCTGATATGTCACATTTTCACTGGGAAATCGAGAGAAACGTACCTAACAGTCGTAGTGAAACTATTTGAAAAATATTGTTTTCCCATGGTAACTAAGAACGTTCAAGTGAAAGACGTCACGATTGGTCTGAAATATTTTTTTCAGGAAACACCTCCATCCACATAAATAGTAATAGATGACATTCATTTTTCACTTTTATTGATTTATCGACAAAGGTTTTAGAGAAAGAACAGCTGCAATTCTATAATTCAGTTCTCGACATTTCTGCTACTAGAAATCATTTTTAAAGTGATTGCAGGAAAAAACTAATTTACTACCTAAATTCATTTACAATTGTGTATCCATATTCATTTAATTAATGTAATAACACGTACTTTATTGGAAAAAATATAAAATTCTGTATTCACAGTCAGATATTATTTTTATTCTTTATTACAAGAAATATTACTTTTAATTATCCTGGCTGTCACTTACTAAAATGTTTTTTTAACGTAGGTACTGTATCAAATAAATTAATATATTAAGGCATTTGATACACCAACTATAGCCGTTGAAACAGAACATTGTGTTTTAATATAATCTAGATCTTTTTGTTTTAATTTAACCGAAATTTATTTGCCAAAGTGAAGGAAACAAAATNATTATTATTTGTTACCAGCATTCGTTTGCACTGGTTAGATAGAGCAAAATGCAGGCCATTTCAAAATACCACTTTCATTATGTAATAGGTAAAGACTGCAATCTAAAATACTTTACATTTCTATTTGTTCTGATATGTCACATTTTCACTGGGAAATCGAGAGAAACGTACCTAACAGTCGTAGTGAAACTATTTGAAAAATATTGTTTTCCCATAGTAACTAAGAACGTTCAAGTGAAAGACGTCACGATTGGTCTGAAATATTTTTTTCAGGAAACACCTCCATCCACATAAATAGTAATAGATGACATTCATTTTTCACTTTTATTGATTTATCGACAAAGGTTTTAGAGAAAGAACAGCTGCAATTCTATAATTCAGTTCTCGACATTTCTGCTACTACTTTAATTCATTTACAATTGTGTATCCATAATCATTTAATTGCTGTAATAACACGTACTTTATTGGAAAAAATATAAAATTCTGTATTCACAGTCAGATATTATTTTTATTCTTTATTACAAGAAATATTACTTTTAATTATCCTGGCTGTCACTTACTAAAATGTTTTTTTAACGT